TCCTGGTCAACATGGTGAAACCCCGTCTCTACTAAAAACAGAAAAAATTAGCTGGGCATGGTGGCGCGTGCCTGTAATCCCAGCTACTCAGGAGGCTGAGGCAGGAGAATTGCCTGAACCCAGGAGGCGGAGGTTGCGGTGAGCCGAGATCGCGCCATGGCACTCCAGCCTGGGTAACAGGAGCGAAACTCCGTCTCAAAAAAAAAAAAAAAAAAAAAAAAAAAAAAAAAAAAAAACTCAGATGTGTAGGGGACACTGAAGGATTTAAAGCAGGAAAACTCCATGATAGGAGCTGTCTACTAGGCCCTACAGCAGAAACACGGGGGCACGACCCTGTGGAAGTGAGTCAATTAACCCTCTTTTTCTTTATAAATTACGCAGTCTCTGGTATGTCTTTATTAGCAGCATGAGAACAAACTAATACAGGAAATTGGTTAACAGTAGAGTGAAGTGCTGCTATAAGGACACCTGAAAATGTGGAAGCGAATTTGGAACTGGGTAATAGGCAAAGGCTGGAAGAGTTTGGAGGGCTCAAAAGAAGACAGGAAGACATGGGAAAGTTTGGAGCTTCCTAAAGAATGGTTGCTGAATGACCAAAAAGTCCACACTGAGGTGGTCTCAGACGAAGATAAGGAGCTTTGCTGGGAACTGGAGTAGAAGTGTGCGGCAGGGGGGCAGCCCTCGAGGAGAACCTCTGCGGGAGCAGTGCACAAGGAAAATGTGTGGCTGGAGCCCCCCCAGACTGCTCGCTGGGGCACTGCCTAGTGGAGCTGTGAGAAGAGGGCCACCCTCCTCCAGCCCCCAGAATGATGCATTCAGCAAGAGCTTGCACTGCTTGCCTAGAAAAGTAGCAGACACTCAACACCAGCCTGTGAAAGCAGCCAGAAGAGGAGCTGCTCCCTGCAAAGTCACAGGGGAGGATCTGTCCAAGACCCTGGAAACCCGCCTCCTGCATCGGCGTGACCTGGATGTGAGAAATGGAGTCAAGAGATCATTTCAGAGCTTTAAGATGTACTGCCCTGCTGGATTTCGGGCTTGTATGGGGACCCCTCTGTTTTGGCCAATTTTTCCCGTCTGGAATAGGCTTTACCCAATGCCTGTAGCTCTACTGTACCCAGGAAATAACTGACTTGCTTTTGATTTCACAGGTTCATAAGCAGAAGAGACTTGCTTGTCTCAGATGAAACTCTGGCCTGTGGACTTTTGAGTTAATGCTGAAATAAGACTTTGCGGGACTGTTGGGAAGGAATGATTGGTTTTGAAATATGAGGACATGAGATTGGGGACCAGGGGTGAAATGATATTGCTTGACTGTGTCCCCACCAAATCTCATCTTGAACTGTAGCTCCCATAATCCCCATGTTGTGGGAGGGACCTGGTGGGAGGTAACTGAATCATGGGAGTGGGTTTTTCCCGTGCTGTTCTCACGATAGTGAATAAATCTCATGAGATCTGATGGTTTTTTTTTTTTTTTTTTTTTTTTTTTGAGACGGAGTTTCGCTCTTGTTACCCAGGCTGGAGTGCAATGGCGCGATCTCGGCTCACCACAACCTCCGCCTCCTGGGTTCAGGCAATTCTCCTGCCTCAGCCTCCTGAGTAGCTGGGATTACAGGCACGTGCCACCATGCCCAGCTAATTTTTTGTATTTTTAGGAGAGACGGGGTTTCACCATGTTGACCAGGATGGTCTCGATCTCTCGACCTCGTGATCCACCCGCCTCGGCCTCCCAGAGTGCTGGGATTACAGGCTTGAGCCACCGCGCCTGGCCGTTATCTGATGGTTTTATAAAGGGCAGTTGCCCTGCACAGACCCTCTCTTGCTTGCCGCCACGTAAGACATGTGTTTGCTCCTTCGCCTTCCGCCATGACCGTGAGGCCTCTCCAGCCCTGTGGAACTGCGAGTCCATTAACCTCTTTTTATAAATTACCCAGTCTTGGGTATGTCTGTATTGGCACCATGAGAACAGACTAATAAAACATCCCAAGCTACTCACCTATCCCTTTTCTCCAAAGCCATTTTTGGACAAGCTGCGGAAGTCCATCCTGCTTTTGCCAGAAAGCCTAATTATGTAGTAGACACTTGCAGACCATCAGTCTATGGCATCATCATATTCAATATCTAACCCAAACTTCAGGTGGACCTGAAACAAATTCCAGTAGAGCAGTCAAAAGTTCAAATTACTGAAAATGTTATGAGGGTGAACATACAAAGTTTCTAGTTAATCTACAAAAGCAAAAAAAATTCCCATTCTGTGTGACCATTCTTAAGAGAAATTTATGAACATTAATATTTTCAACTTAAGTCACTGAGCACTATTAGGAAAAAAAAAGACATTGTGGTATACTATTTTCACTCTTATTCACATAGTTTCACTTAATAATATTTGTCATATATTTGTACTTTTGCTTCACAAAAATTAAGGTGCATGCTATCAGTCTTCTTTGGCGCAAAAGAGGCATGTAGAAATATAGCAAACAGTGAATGTTTGATGCACTTTTGAGGGTGTATGAGGCTGAACTTGCATTGTTATAGCATTTTTTTTTTTCTTTTTGAGACACAGTCTCACTCTGTCACCAGGCTGGAGTGCAGTGGCATGATCTCAGCTCACTGCAACCTCCGCCTTCTGGGTTCAAGCGATTCCCGTCTCAGCCTCCCAAGTAGCTGGGACTACAGGTGCCCACCACCATGCCTGGCTAGTTTTTTGTATTTCAGTAGAGATGGGGTTTCACCATGTTGGCCAGGATGTTCTCCATCTCCTGACCTCGTGATCTGTCCACCTCAGCCTCCCAAAGTGCTGGGATTATAGAAGTGAGCCACCATGACCGCCCATGTTACAGAATTTTGTATGTACCCGTATGAGCATCCTTTGCAAATGCAGAGAATAACTCAAGTATTAAGTATGATTAGTCTAAATTATACTACCCAAGTATAATTAGTCTAAATTATACTTACCCATGGATTCACAAATGTGTGCATATGTTGTTTCATTTCACACACACACACACAAAATTATTCTGGATGTGTCAATCTTAAAATGTGAATGGTGCACTTTTTAAAATGCCTATTTAACACTAAAGTTAGAGTGGTTAGACACATATCACCAATACACAGCTCAGAGTGAAGACAAAGAAAATTGCACTGCAGGGTATTTACAATTAATGATGCATTATTGTGCATTATATTCTCCTAAGGGGGGAATAAAACAGTTGATAGAAATGACGTGATTCACACTTAGGAAAATGTTAACTTTATTAACCAAAACATAAGAACTATGTACATTCTAAATCAACAGTTGGAAATTATGCCAAGAGTTAAATGTGAATGCTACCCAAGAATATGACATACTAGTAAATTCTCTCATCTGATACAACCGTTCTCTCGTCCGTTTCAAAAATGACTACTTCTTTTTTTGAGATGGAGTTTCGCTCTGTCGCTCGGTCTGGAGGGCAGTGGCGTGACCTCGGCTCACCGCGACCTCTGCCTCCCAGGTTCTTGCAATTCTCCTGCCTCAGCCTCTCGAGTAGGTGTGACTACAGACGCACACCGCCACACCCAGACAATTTTTTTGTATTTTATTAGAGATGGGGTTTACCGTGTCGCCAGGCTGACCACCATCTCCCCTGCATGATTTCTACACATACGCTGTATTTCATGGCTAGTTGGTAGAGCACAGCAGCACTGTGCGCTTCTGTCAGGACGAACGTGCTGAATACAACAGTATGATCTGCCATCAGACTGCCATCATAGTTTTATATGATTCCTGCCCACCTCCATGCTAAACCAATGAACTGAAAATCTACTGTTGTTCTTCCTCAGGAAACTAAATAGAAATGCTTTTCAGCTAATAAAGTACCCTGTCATCCTACTGATTCAAGAGACCACAATGAAAGGTCTGTAAAGAAGTCACATTAGGCCGGGCGCGGTGGCTCATGCCTATAATCCCAGCACTTTGGGAGGCCGAGGCGGGTGGATCACAAGGTCAAGAGATCGAGACCCCATCTTGGTCAACAAGGTGAAACCCCGTCTGTACTAAAAATACAAAAATTAGCCGGGCGTGGTGGTGCGTGCCTGTAGTCCCAGCTACTCGGCAGGCTGAGGCAGGAGAATTGCTTGAACCCAGGAGGCAGAGGTTGCAGTGAGCCGAGATCGTGCCATTGCACTCCAGCCTGGGTAACAAGAGCGAAACTCCGTCTAAAAAAAAAAAAAAAAAGTCACATTAAGTGATTTCAAAGTTAAGAATCAAAGCCATAAAATGTAAAGTAGCCTTTTGAAAAAACCGCATATAATTAGGTTAATTCCCTGAATATAACTGACCGTTTCCACATGCCCTTGAACTTTTGACATGCTTCACATCATTTCACATATTTTGAGCTCTAATTTTTCTGTAGCTTGCAATATCATAAATATCAGAGAACTAGAGACTAAGTTATTGCTTGTGTAAATCTTATGTATCATAGTAATGGTCACTGAATAATAGCCTCAGCATACACAGTCCATTTGTGTGGTTTTATCCAAGATGTGTTTTGATGTCTAGTCATTCAGCAGGCCTCAAGAGACCTGTGTCACATACACTGACATAATTTCTCTTTAGTATGGAATCTCTGATGTTGATTAATGCTGGAACTAATGATGGAGAATTTTCCATACTCAGTTTGTAAGAACTCTCTCATGAATGCATTTTCTCATGCTATGCAAGGTGTGAATTATGACTAAAGCTCCTACCATACACATTTCTTTCTTTTTTTTTTTTTTTTTTTTTTTAAGAGATGGAGTTTCGCTCTTGTTACCCAGGCTGGAGTGCAATGGCGCGTTCTCAGCTCACCGCAACCTCCGCCTCCTGGGTTCAGGCAATTCTCCTGCCTCAGCCTCCTGAGTAGCTGGGATTACAGGCACGCACCACCATGCCCAGCTAATTTTTTGTATTTTTAATAGAGACGGGGTTTCACCATGTTGACCAGGATGGTCTCGATCTCTTGACCTCGTGATCCACCCGCCTCGGCCTCCCAAAGTGCTGGGATTACAGGCTTGAGCCACCGCGCCCAGCTACCATACACATTTCATCTGTAACGCTTCTCTCCAGTATGAATTCTGTGATGATTTGCAAGGTGTGAATTTCGACTGAAGTCCTTACCACATTCATTACATCTGTAGGGTTTCTCTCCAGTATGACTTCTCTCATGTTTTGTTAGGTATAACTTGTGGCTGAAGACCCTGCCACATTCATTACATTTTAAGGCTTCTCTCCAGTATGAATATTCTTATGTCGTGAAAGGTGTGAATTTTGACTAAAGACTTTGCCACATTCGCTACATTTGTAAGGTTTCTCTCCAGCATGGATTCTGTGATGAATTGCAAGGCTTGAATTTCGAGTGAATTCCTTGCCACATTCATTACATCTATAAGGTTTCTCTCCAGTATGAACTCTTTGATGTCGTGTAAGGCATGAAAGGCGACTAAATACCTTGCCACAGTCACTGCATTTGTAAGGCTTCTCTCCAGTATGTATTCTCTGATGTTGTGCAAGGTGTGAATTGTAACTGAAGACTTTGCCACACTCGTTACATTTGTAAGGTTGCTCTCCAGTGTGAATTCTAAGACGAGTGGTTAGACAAAACTTATGCCTGAAGACCTTGCCACATTCTTTAAATTCGTAAGGTTTCTCTCCAGTATGGATTCTTTGATGTCTGGTCAGGTGTGCATTTCGGCTAAAGACCTTACCACATTTATTACATTTGTAAAGCTTCTCTCCAGTATGAATTACGAGATGAGCAGAAAGGCCTGAACCCCCTGAAAATGCTTTGCCACATTCATTACATTGGTAAGGTTTCTCTCCACTATGAATTTTCTGATGTCGTGCAAGGTTTGCAGTTTGACTGAAGACCTTGCCACACTCATTACATTTGTAAGGTTTCTCTCCAGTATGGATTCTGTGATGATCTGCAAGGTGAGAATTTTGAGTGAAGACTTTGCCACATTCATTACATTTGTAAGGTTTCTCTCCAGTATGGATTCTCTGATGTCGTGCAAGGAGTGAAATTCTACTGAAGAGCTTGTCGCAGTCATGACACTTGTAAGGCTTCTCTCCAGTATGGACTCTTTGATGTTGTACAAGGTTTGAGCTGCTACCAAAGACCTTGCCACATTCCTTACATCTGTAAGGGTTATCTGCAGTATGGATTCCTTGATGGTCAGCAAGTCTTGAAGACACTCTAAAGACTCTGCCGTGCTCATTACACTCACAAGGTTCTTCCCTAATTTGTGCTTTTTTTTCTTGTGGGAGTAATGGAGAATTATCAAAATCAGTTCTATATTTATTCAAAATGTGGGATTTGGCACTAGAATAAATTTTCTGAAGTGGTGAAACTAACGAATTGTTATTGATAGGTTTTTCAACATGTTTACATCCCGAAATATTCCTTTCAGCTTGAAATAGCTTCAGTTCGCTCAGATGTAATTGAAAGGTCAATCCAAGTTGATTTTTAAGACATTTGTTTCCTGTGCTGCTTCCCAATTCAGAGCTGCTCTCTAAAAAAGAAAGAAAAAAGAAGTACTTCAACCCGTGACAATGGCATGTTTAGTGACTGACAGAGAGACTAGATTGTGTCTCATCTGACTCAGGCACTGGAAAGAATATCAGCATACCGTGTATGGCGGCGGTGCAGAAAATAAAAGGGACTGAGGGATGCACTGGGGCAATGGGGACTCTACAGGAGTCAGGTGGCTTACGGGTTAGTTTGACAGAGATTGTGAGCAGAAAAATACAACAAAAGTTATAAGCTCCTGAGAAAAAGCAGGATGAGTCTCTTAGGGAAAATGAAAACTTTGAGAGCAGCTGTGTAGTCACTAGTAATGGTACTTCCACAAGCCAGAAAAAAACACATCCCCAGAAAATGAGTGACTGTTTCTACCCCCTTTATAGCAAGCTAATTAGTAAAGGTATCCTCCAGCACAATTTTTTGTTGTTGTTTGTTGAGATGGAATCTCACTCTGTCACTAGGCTGGAGTGCAGTGGCCATAGCTGGGACTACAGGCACACACCACCACAGCCGGCTAATTTTTTGTATTTTTAGTAGAGACGGGGTTTCACCATGTTGGCCAGGATGGTCTCGATCTCCTGACCTTGTGATCTGCCTGCCTTGGCCTCCCAAAGTGCTGGGATTACAGGCGTGAGCCACCACACCTGGCTCCTGCACAATTCTTATACGAAATAACTGGGAGAAATGGTTGCTTTACCAAACCTATACCCAAAATTACAAGGCCTACAAAATGACAAGGAAATATGGCTAAAATTATAATCAGTCAATCAATCTCCAATAAACAAACCTAAAAATAGGCAGCCCTCTGAACGACTTGACAGGTATTTAAAGCAACTGCCTTAAGATACTTAATGAGTGCCGGGCGCGGTGGCTCAAGCCTGTAATCCCAGCACTTTGGGAAGCCGAGGCGGGTGGATCACAAGGTCGAGAGATTGAGACCATCCTAGTCAACATGGTGAAACCCCGTCTCTACTAAAAGTGCAAAAAATTAGCTGGGCATGGTGGCACGTGCCTGTAATCCCAGCTACTCAGGAGGCTGAGGCAGGAGAATTGCCTGAACCCAGGAGGCGGAGGTTACGGTGAGCTGAGATCGCGCCATTGCACTCCGACCTGGGTAACAGGGGCGAAACTCCCTCTCAAAAAAAAAAAAAAAAAGAGGCCGGGCGCGGTGGCTCAAGCCTGTAATCCCAGCACTTTGGGAGGCCGAGGCGGGTGGATCACGAGGTCAAGAGATCGAGACCATCCTGGTCAACATGGTGAAACCCCGTCTCTACTAAAAATACAAAAAATCAGCTGGGCATGGTGGCACATGCCTGTAATCCCAGCTACTCAGGAGACTGAGGCAGGAGAATTGCCTGAACCCAGGAGGCGGAGGTTGCGGTGAGCCGAGATCGCGCCATTGCACTCCAGCCTGGGTAACAAGAGCGAAACTCTGTCTCAACAACAACAACAACAACAACAACAACAACAACAACAACAAAAAAGATACTTAATGAGCTAAAAAAGTTAACATAGATAGATAACTAAATAAATAAAATTAGGCAAACATTACATGAAAAGAAAAAAAAATCAAACACAGAAGAAACTACTAAAAACAAAAGAACAGAAACTCTGGAGCTGAAATACAGTAACCGAAGCAATAATTCACTAAAAGATTCAACAGCAGACTGCAAAAGGAATAGACAACAATGAGCAAACTGAAAGACAGGTGTTCAAAACTATCAGCTCCAAAGAGCCCAAAAATAAAATGATAAAGAAAACCAACCCTAATATATTTTTGACATACTATAAGGTGGAACAGTATACAAACTATTGGAGATTCACAAGAAGACAGAGGATCAGAAATCACCATTATAGGAACAATGTTCAAACAACCCAAATCAAAAAACGAGTATACAAATTCAAGAAGCTTGACCATTCTAACTAAAACTAACCCAAGGACATTCACACAGAGACACATTATAAAGAAATTATCAAAATTCAAAGATACAGTTGATAGCAGCAACAAAAAAGACATCATATAAAGGAAAACTGTATAATATTATATGGATTTTTAAGCAGGCCACTTTGCAGGCTAGAAGGCAGTGAGACGTTATGTTGAAAACAATTAAAGAAGGGGGAAAAAGGCAAAAATATCAACCAAGAATACTCTATTTAGCAACATTCACCTGCAAAAATAAGAAATTTAAACATTCTTTTTTTTTTTTTTTTTTTTTTTAGACGGAGTTTCGCTCTTGTTACCCAGGCTGGAGTGCAATGGCACGATCTCGGCTCACCGCAACCTCCGCCTCCTGGGTTCAGGCAGTTCTCCTGTCTCAGCCTCCTAAGTCGCTGGGATTACAGGCACGTGCCACCATGCCCAGCTAATTTTTTCTATTTTTAGTGGAGACGGGGTTTCACCATGTTGACCAGGATGGTCTCGATCTCTGGACCTCGTGATCCACCTGCCTCGGCCTCCCAAAGTGCTGGGATTACAGGCTTGAGCCACCGCGCCCGGCGAAATTTAGACATTCTTAGAAAATGAAGAGCTGAGGAAGTGCATCAGTATTCTAGACTTGCCCAACAAGAAATGCTAAAGGGACTCCTTCAAGATAAAATAAAAAGAATCTAAATAGTATCTTTAACCTTAATAAAAATAGAAAGTCATCCATTCATGGTCAGTAAATAAATTAAAAATAGAGATATTTTATTAACCCCTTTTCTTTTTTCTTTTCTTTTTTTTTTGAGACTGAGTTTCGCTCTTGTTACCCAGGCTGGAGTGCAATGGCACAATCTCGGCTCACCGCGACCTCCACCTCCTGAGTTCAAGCGATTCTCCTACCTCAGCCTCTTGAGTAGTAGCTGGGATTACAGGCATGTGTTACTACACCTCCTGTAACCCCTTTTCTTTTGTAACGACTTTTAATGGTTTGTTTGTTTGCTTTTTCAGACAGAGTCTCTCTCTGTTGCCCAGGCTGAAGTGCAGTGGCGCCATCTCAGCTCACTGCAACCTCCACCTCCTGAGTTCAAGCGATTCTCCTACTTCAGCCTCCTGAGTAGTAGCTGGGATTACAGGCATGTGTTACTACACCTGGCTAATTTTTGTATTTTTAGTAGAGACGGAGTTTCAACATGATGGTCAGGCTGGTCTCGAACTCAAAAGACAAAATCGTTTAAAAAGCACTATAGGCCGGGTGCGGTGGCTCAAGCCTGTAATCCCAGCACTTTGGGAGGCCAAGGCGGGTGGATCACGAGGTCAAGAGATCGAGACTATCCTGGTCAACATGGTGAAACCCTGTCTCTACTAAAAAGGCAAAAAATTAGCTGGGCATGGTGGCGCGTGCCTGTAATCCCAGCTACTCAGGAGGCTGAGGCAGGAGAACTGCCTGAACCCAGGAGGCGGAGGCTGCGGTGAGCCGAGATCGCGCCATTGCACTCCAGCCTGGGTAACAAGAGCGAAACTCCACCTCAAAAAAAAAAAAAAAAAAAAAAAAATTTCCATATTAAACACTGTAATATACTTAACTGGCAAAAGTGTTGTTTAATAGTAGCTACTAAGTCAGATAAAACAAAGGAAAATAAATATTTAAACTCCTATTCAAAAGTTTCTGGCATGTGTATAGGTTTTAGAGAATCTCCTGCTGAGGCATACCCTATGCCATAAAAAAAAACACACTCGGCTGAGCGTGGTGGCTCACGTCTGTAATCCCAGGACTTTGGGAGGCTGAGGCAGGTAGATCACTTGAGGTCAGGAGTTTGAGACCAGCCTGGACAACATGGTGAATCCGTTCTCTACTAAAAATACAAAAATTAGCTGTGTGTGGTGGCACTCCCAGCCAATGGGGAGGCTTAGGCACGAGAATCACTTGAACCTGGGAGGCAGAAGTTACAGTGATTTGAGATCACACCACTGCACTCCAGCCTGTGTAACATAACAGCGCAAGACTACGTCCCAAAAAACAATTGTATGGCTTTGCAAAGTACAGTGGCTGTAATTCTACCACTTTGGGAGGCTAGGGCAGGATTGCTTGAGTCTAGCTAGGGGTTTGAGGCGGCAGTGAGCTATGATTGCCACTGCACTACAGCCTCAGTAATAGTGCAACACCCTGTCTCAAAAAATAAAAAATAGGCCGGGCGCGGTGGCTCAAGCCTGTAATCCCAGCACTTTGGGAGGCCGAGGCGGGTGGATCATGAGGTTGAGAGATCGAGACCATCCTGGTCAACATGGTGAAACCCCGTCTCTACTAAAAAATACAAAAAATTAGCTGGGCATGGTGGCACATGCCTGTAATCCCAGCTACTCAGGAGGCTGAGGCAGGAGAATTGCCTGAACCCAGGAGGCGGAGGTTGCGGTGAGCCGAGATCGCACCATTGCACTCCAGCCTGGGTAATAAGAGCGAAACTCCGCCTCAAAAAAAAAATAAATAAAAAATAAAAAATAAAAACCGTGGCAGCCACTCTGCCCATCCGAGCTCTTACCTGTGTTCACACTTCTGACACATTCCCTTCCATCTTGAATTTTTACGATTTTAACTTCACCCTGCAGAGTCGAGGGCTCTCTCCTTTGCTCCAACATGCAGATAATACTTAGGTCAGGAAGACAGATTCCTGTTTATAAAAAGAAAGAACCAAGATGTGCTGGGGCATCTCCAAAATCCAAGCCCTATGTAAGAGAGGATATTGCAAATGGGTCAAGAATATTTCAGCTGGGCACAGTCGCACACACCTGTAATCCCAGCATTTTGAAAGGCTGAGGCAGGTGGATCATAAGGTCAGAAGTTTGAGACCAGCCTGGCCCATATAGCGAAACCCCATCTCTAGTAGAAATACAAAAAATTCAGTCTGCTTGAGGCCATAATTTTAAAAATAAAAAATAAAAAAGAAGAAGCAAAAAATACAAAAATTAGTCAGGTGTGGTGGCACAAGCCTGCAGTCCCAGCTACTTGGGAGGCTGAGACAGAATTGCTTGTACCTGGGAGGTGGAAGTTGCAGTGAGCCAAGACCATGCCATTGTCTCAAAAAAAAAAAAAAAAAAAGGTAAGAAAGAAAAATATTTTACAAGTTCACCCACAGACTGCCTCCTTCTGAATATATAGGGAATACCGTAATATGCAGCCACTGAGATCTCTTCCAAGAACTATTGATTTGTAAGCGCAGGGGAGAAAAGAAAGAACTGGTTATCTGGCGCCACCCAATCATGTCAAAGGGGACAGACCATCTGAAGAAAGGGGACATTTCAAGTCCAGAGAGCATAATAGAGCTTCTCATTTCTGAGTCAACAAGGTTTCTAACTCAGTTAAGCAATTTAGGGGCTCCGAAAAGGCACACAAGAGAAAACGCAAAGCTGGCTTAGAGCAGATCCCAGCTTCTGATGGGGCATTATCCTCACCCAGGGAGACCAGGTTCCTGTAGTTCTCCAGCATCACGTCCTTGTACAAAGCCTGCTGTGCAGGGTCCAGGCATTTCCACTCCTCCTGGGAGAATTCTATGGCCACATCCATGAATGTCAAGTGTCCCTAAAATGATGACCACATTGTTTGAAACACTAAAAATGTGTCAATTATACTCAATTTAGTCTGTAAACATTTTAAAATATTAAGCCATTAAAAATGGCAGATCACTAAAACATAGAAATTTTGACTCCTATCTCTAATAAACACCCACATTCAAAAAGATAAAAATAGGCCGGGCGCGGTGGCTCAAGCCTGTAATCCCAGCACTTTGGGAGGCCGAGGCAGGTGGATCACGAGGTCAAGAGATCGAGACCATCCTCGTCAACAAAGTGAAACGCCGTCTCTACTAAAAACGCAAAAAATTAGCTGGGCATGGTGGCGCGTGCCTGTAATCCCAGCTACTCAGGAGGCTGAGGCAGGAGAATTGCCTGAACCCAGGAGGCGGAGGTTGCGGTGAGCTGAGATCGCGCCATTGCACTCCAGCCTGGGTAACAAAAGCGAAACTCCGTCTCAAAAAAAAAAAAAAAAAAAAAAAAAAAAAAATATATATATATATATATATATATATATATATAGTATTTTTGAAAATTCAGATGGGGTTCTACTAAGTTGCCCAGAAAGATCTCAAACTCCTGAGTTCAAGGCAAGCATTTAATCCTTCTGCTCCTGCCTCCCATGAAGGTGGGATTATAGGCATACACCACTAACCCTGGCCTATAAATACACTTTTGTCCATTAAAATTTACATATGTAGGTATTAGCAAAAGCCCAATGGAGCTTACTGATTTGTTAATAAAGCAGTGACACATGACAGAAAATTTAAGAATATTACACATTGATTTAACAAATAGGCCAGGCATCCCTGTAATTCCAGCACTTTGGGAGGCCGAGGGGAGTGGATCACCTGAGGTCTAGAGTTTGACAGCAGCCTGATCAACATGGTGAAAACCCCAAATAAAAAAAAATTAGCCATGCATGGTGGCAGGTGCCTATAATCCCAGCTACTCTGGTGGCTGAGGCAGGAGAATCATTTGAACCCTGGAGGTAGAGGTTACAGTGAGCTAAGATCGCACCACAGCACTCTAGCCTGGGCAATAAGAGTGAAACTCCATCTCAAAAAACAAACAAACAAACAAAGGTCATAGAAAATATCTATGCAGCACATAGCTTCAGAAATTATTAGATAATAGGCCAGGCGCGGTGGCTCAAAACTGTAATCCCAGCACTTTGGGAGGCCGAGGCGGGTGGATCATGAGGTCGAGAGATCGAGACCATCCTGGTCAACATGGTGAAACCCCGTCTCTACTAAAAATACAAAAAAACAAACAAACAAAAAAAAAACTAGCTGGGCATGGTGGTGCGTGCCTGTAATCCCAGCTACTCAGGAGACTGAGGCAGGAGAATTGCCTGAGCCCAGGAGGCGGAGGTTGCGGTGAGCTGAGATCGCGCCATTGCACTCCAGCCTGGGTAACAAGACCGAAACTCCATCTCAAAAAAAAAAAAAAAAAAAATTATTAGATAATTAATACTCAAGCCAAGAATGAAATTGGAAAAAACATCATGATATTAAACAAGAAGATCTCATAAAACATCATTATCAACAGTAAACATGGGATCCGTTTCCTCTAATTTAAAGCAAGGAAAAGGGCACTGGTCTGTGCTGCAGACAATCATCACCGCACAGGAGGCCTGAGCAGGGACCAGAAGCAGAGGGAAAAAAACAGGAAAAAAAAAAAAAGTGGGGGTAGGAGGCAGGAAAAAGCAGGATCTGTTAGAACTAAGGAATGACAGGCCTGTAACCCAAACAGAATGCCATTTTAGCATATTAACTAATACAAGGCCTGACATAGTGGCTCATGCCTATAATCCCAGCACTTTGGGAGGCCAAGAGGGCAGATCACCAGGTCAGCAGATTCAGACCGTCCTGGCTAAGATGGTCAAACCCTGTTTCTACTAAAAATACGAAAATTAGCCAGGCGTGGTAGCGCGCCTATAATCCCAGCTACTCAGGAGGCTGAGGCAGGAGAATTGTTTGAACCCAGGAGGCGGAGGTTGTGGTTAGCCGAGATCGTGTCATTGCACTCCAGCCTAGACGACAGAGAGAGATTTTGTCTCAAAAAAGAAACAAAAAAAACAAGTAATATAATAGAAGAAAACAACAAAGTAAAACAACTATTTATATAGCATTTGTAAATTTCATTAATCCATTATAAGTAATCCATTATAAGTTTCATTAATCTATTACAAGTAATCAAAAGATGATGTAAAGTATATAGGAGGATGTGTGCAGTTTAAATGCAAATACAGCTATGCATTGCTTAGTAACGGGACCTGTTTTGAGAAATGTATTTTCAGACCATTTCATTATTGACTGCACTTACATAAGCCACGATGGTATAGCCTACTACACATCTAGAGTATATGGTGTAAACTACTGTTAAAAATCTATACATCGGGCCACGCTCGGTGGCTCAAGCCTATAATCCCAGCACTTTGGGAAGCCGAGGCGGGTGGATCACGAGGTCAAGAGATCGAGACCATCCTGGTCAACATGGTGAAACCCCGTCTCTACTAAAAATACAAAAAAATTAGCTGGGCACAGTGGCATACGCCTATAATCCCAGCTACTCAGGAGGCTGAGGCAGGAGAATTGCCTGAACCCAGGAGGTGGAGGTTGCGGTGATCTGAGATTGCGCCATTGCACTCCAGCCTGGGTAACAAGAGCGAAACTCTGTCTCAGAAAAAAAAAAGGCTGGGCGTGATGGCTCAAGCCTGTAATCCCAGCACTTTGGGTGGCCGAGGCGGGTGGATCACGAGGTCAAGAGATCGAGACCATCCTGGTAAACATGGTGAAACCCCGTCCCTACTAAAAATACAAAGAATTACCTGAGCATTGTTGTGTGTGTCTGTAATCCCAGTTACTCAGGAGGCTGAGGCAGGAGAATTGCCTGAACCCAGGAGGCGGAGGTTGCAGTGAGCTGAGATCGCGCCATTGCACTCCAGCCTGGGTAAGGAGAGCGAAACTCCGTCTCAAAAAAAAAAAAAACTATACATCATATGATGTACTCAATACTATAGCCAACTGTGACACAATGGTATGTACTTGTAAATAAAAACACGTCTCAGGCCTGGTGCGGTGGCTCAAGCCTGTAATCCCAGCACTTTGGGAGGCCAAGGCGGGTGGATCACGAGGTCAAGAGATCGAGACCATCCTGGTCAACCATGGTGAAACCCCGTCTCTACTAAAAATACAAAACATTAGCTGGGCATGGTGGTGCGTGCCTGTAATCCCAGCTCCTCAGGAGGCTGAGGCAGGAGAATTGCCTGAACCCAGGAGGCGGAGGTTGCGGTGAGCCGAGATCGCGCCATTGCACTCCAGCCTGGGTAACAAGAGCGAAACTCTGTCTCAAAAAAAAAAAAACATGTCTGCAACACAGAAAAGGTACAGACATAATATGATATAAATGTTTAAAAAATGGTACATCTGTATAGGGCACTTACCATGAATGGAGCTTGCAGGGCTAGAAATTGCTCTGGATGAGTCACAGTGAGTGTGTGGTGACGGAATGTGATGGCCTAGGACACAACTGTGTACTACTGTATGTAGATTTTATAAACACTGAATATTCAGTCACGTGTGGTGGCTCACGCTTATAATCCCAGCACGTTTGGAGAACGAGGCAAGCAGACTGCTTGAGCCTAGAAGTTCAAGACCAGTTTGTGCAACATGGCAAGACTCCTGTGCCTACAAAAAACAAATACAAAAATAAGTTGAGGAATGGTGGAACACACCTCTAATCCCAGCTAACCAGGAGGCTGTGGTGGGACGATCCTCTGAACGTAGGAGGTTGAGGCCGCAGTGAGCCAGGATCACACCACTGCACTCCAGCCTGGGCGGCAGTATGAGAGCCTGTCTCAAAAATAAATACATATATTCTTCTGTATAAGAGCTAAAAAATAAAAATATATACATACATACTTACTGTATATTTCCGCTATAGTAACATTTTTTCTCAATAACAGATTAACCTTAGCTTACCATCAATTTTTGACTTTATAAACTTGTAAATTTAACTTTTTGACTTTTACAAGAACATTTAGCTTAAAAGACATTGTATAGCTGTACAAAAATATTTTGTCTTTTAGAATTTATTTTCCCCTTTTAAACTTTTTAAAAATAAAATATTAAAAAAGTATTTTTCTCATTTAAAATTTATTTTCCCCTTTTAAACTTTTTTGTCAATAACCAGGACACAAACACATACATTAGCCTATGGCCTCACAGGGCCAGGATCATCAATGTCACTGTCTTCCAGTGCCACATCTTGTCCCACTGCAAAGTCCTCAGGGACAATGACATGTATGGAGCTGTCATCTCCTGGGATGACAATGCCTTCTTCTGGATACCTCTTGAAGAACTTGCCTGAGGCTCTTCTAGCTGAGGAGGCATTCTTTTCTGTGCTGTGCGAATCTGAAAGTCAGCTGATTAGGAAGAAAAATATCCGCAGTGGTTTGCCTGCTTAATTTTTCTTCCTAAATGTTCTTGTGAGCAGATAATGAACCATGAACTTTCCTATTAATAAACACATTTTGGGGTTGGGCGTGGTGGTCCACGCCTGTAATTCCAGAACTTTGGGAGGCGGAGGCAGGCAGATCACGCAAGGCTGGGAGTTCGAGACTAGCCCGGCCAAAATGGTGAAATGTCGTCTGTACTAAAAATACAAACATTAGCTGGGCGTAGCGGCAGGCGTCTGTAATCCCAGCTACTAAGGAGTCTGAGGCAGGAGAATGGCTTCAACCCATGAGGCGGAAGTTGCAGTAAGCCGAGATCGTGCCACTGCACTCCAAGCTGGGGGACAGAGCAAAACTCTGTCTCAGAATAAATACGTAATCAAATAAACACCTTTTGGCGTTGAAGTTCATGTTTTCAAACTTTTTAAAAAGCTTGTTGAGGTCCGTACAAGTTTCTGCTAAACCCTTCACTGTGAAAGTTCTTGAATTTTTTTCTTTTCTCCTTCACTTTGCTGTCCTCTCACCTCTTCTTCAGCTACGTGTTCTTGTATCAGTTCCAACAACTTACTCGCTCATTTCTCGTGAACACCCTCTAGGACCATCGCAATGTCATCCTCACCCACACCCAGGTTACAGCTGTCTGGTAACAACCTAGGTTTGTTTACACCAGCATCACCACAGACACAAGGAATGCACTAGACTATGACGTCATGACTGCTCTGATGTAACTAGGCAACAGGAACTTTTCAGCTCCAGTGTAATCTTACGGAACCACCACCATAGATCTGATTGTTGACCAAAATATTATGCAGTGTATGACTGTAGTACCCAACTTTATATAAGGGACTTGAAGATCACCTGATTTTGGTATCCTCAGGGGTTGTGGAAGTAATTCCTTTGATATTGAGGAATCACTGTATGGCCTAGACATACTGGGATTCAATTCCTCGGCGAATTAGAGTGGGACTGGCCGGCTGCCAGTAATATTCAATCAACTCATCACTCACCTGCACTCAGGGTCTCCATCTCTTGTCATGAGTATGGTTCCCTCCCTCATTGTACACATCTCTCTGATTCTCACCTGCTTTCTCCTGCCTTTCTTCACATCGTTTTTCCCCCTGCCATTGGCTCATTTTCCTGACACTCTCCTATCCTGTTGTTTCTCCCCCTCTTCCCTCGGTTCCTTCTCTTCCACGTGTTCTGCTCCATTACGGCAATTTGTTTCACCCGGAGCTTCTCTTGGTGTCCCATCTCTGTCCCCAGTTTCCATAAACGGCTGCCTGCTTCTTGCCCTCCCTATCTCGGCTTCCTCTCTGCTCTCCCTGCGGAAAGAAGTCTCGAAAATCCTTGTTTACCTGGCCCAAGGCAGAACGACCGGGGACAGAACCGGTGGCGGAGCGATTTTAACACACGAGGAAGCGACCGCCGGACTCTCACGGAGACGCCTGAATTTACACGGAGTGAATGGAGATGCGGGGATTTCAAGCTCTTTGTGGGGCCTTAGATTCCGGGTACAGAAGAGCGGGGAGCTGGGAATACCACACCCAATCTAAACAAAGGGAAACGCACACGCTACCTCGCGACCTTCGAACCACGAGATCTATTTGATCTATTTCCGGGTCGGCAAAAAACTGCGCGCGCAACAGAGGAAGCCGGACGCGAAGGGGCGGGGCCGAGCGTCCTTCCACCGACTGCCTGCAAAACCCGGAAAAGTTTTGCCGGTAGTGAGGCTGGAGCAGCTCAGCAGTCTGCAAACTGGGATCGTGCTGGGGCAAAGCAACGTCAGTTGATAATTAGATCCAAGAAATGTCCTGCTATTAAAATGACTTTTTTTTTTTGAGACGTGGTTTCACCATATTGGTCAGGCTGGTCTTGAACTCCCGACCTCAGGTGATCCGCCCACCTTCGCCTCTAAAGTGCTTGGATTACAGGCGTGAGCCACCACGCCCGGCCTAAAATGATTTTTTTAAATTATTTATTTATTTATTTATTTATTTATTTTGAGACGTAGTTTCTCTCTTGTCAGGCTGGAGTGTAATGGCGCGATCTCAGCTCAATGCAACCTCCGCCTCCCGTGTTCAAGTGATTCTCCTGCCTCAGCCTCCCAAGTAGCTGGGACAACAGGCACTGGCCACAACACCCAGATAATTTTTGTATTTTTAGCAGAGACCGGATTTCACTATGCTGGCCAGGCTGGTCTTGAACTCCTGACCTTGTGATTTGCCAGCCTCGGCCTCCCAAAGTGCTCGCATCACAGGCATAAGTCATCAGGCCTGGCCTACATAGTTCTTTTTTACACTTTTTATTCTATTCCAATTTGAGATGAGTTAGCCTCAAATCCGTTTCAGATGAACTTGGCTGACATCCTGATACACTTAACATCAATAATTTCTAAGTATACTGTAATTTTAAATTGACTTGACCTGCATTCTGAAAGCAACTAGAAAATGTATTTTAAAATTTATCAATTGTGGCCGGGTGTGGTGGCTCATGCCTGTTTGGGAGGCCAAGGCTGGTGGATCACGAGGTCAGGAGTTCAAGACTAGCCTGGCCAACAAGGAGAAAACCCGTCTCTGCTAAAAATACAAAAATTAGCCAGGCATGGTGGCACGCGTCTGTAGTCTCAGCTACTCGGGAGGTTGAGGCAGGAGAATTCCTTGAACCTGGGAGACAAGAGATTGCTGTGAGCTGAGATCTCGCCACTGCACTCCACCCTGGGCGACAGAGCAAGACTCTGTCCAAAAAAAATTATTTTAGGCGTTTTCTTTTTTCTTGTTTTTTTTTGAGACGGAGTGCCTGGCCTAAATTAGTTACTTTAAAAAACTAATAAACTCTATTTTAGAACATTTGTAGATTTTTATTTTAAAAATTGAAAAAAGTTAACAAATTCTATATACCCTGACCTGTTTTCTCGATTACTAACTGTCCGGCCTCCCTGGACCACTTGTTTGCTGAGACCCCAGGAATTAAGCCGAGTGAGCCAGATAGAGCCGAATGGACAGGATGTTTAGGCTTTATTGGAAAAATCCCCGGGCAGACTGACTGGACCCGTACAACAGGAGAGAGTCAGCAGTCTCGCGCCGGTTTTCTTTGTTCCGTGATTTTTATAGAGGTGGGGGAACCGGGGAGTGAAGGAGGTGATGTGACAGATGGTGATTGGTCAGTTGGACCGTCAGGCGGGAAGTCAGTGAAGGGCTGATAAGGTGGTCGGTGATTGGTCTGATCGGTTGCTGGGCAGAAAGTTGCTGAGTCACCCGGGGTCGTTTGTACTTGGGGCTAGGACGCTGGGCAGTGTGAGACAAAGGATATCCACGTGGTGAGGTTAGGTATTTTCCGCGTGGCCGGGGCCTGGGTGGGAGCAAGAGGGGATCCAAGGGTCCTCTACCAGACACTAACATCTTATACTAATTTAGTATGGAATTTACAGTTTATAAACCATTGTTGGTACATTACTATCAACTTATGCATAATTTATTCTGATTTCCTTAGTTTTTTTTTTGAGACGGAATTTCGCTCTTGTTACCCAAGCTGGAGCGCAATGGCGCGATCTCGGCTCACCGCAACCTCTGCCTCCTGGGTTCAAGCAATTCTCCTGCCTCAGCCTCCTGAGTAGCTGGGATTACAGGCACTTACCACCATGCCCAGCTAATTTTTGTATTTTCAGTAGAGACGGGGTTTCACCATGTTGACCAGGATGGTCTCGATCTCTCGACCTTGTGATCCACCCGCCTCGGCCTCCCAAAGTGCTGGGATTACAGGCTTGAGCCACCGCGCCCGGCCAAACTTTGTTTTTTTTGCTTAGGATTGCTTTTGCTATTTAGTCTGGGCTCTTCTGGTTCCAAATACATTTTAGATTGCTTTCTTCTAATTCTGTGAAAAATGCCATTGGTAGTTTGATAGAAATAGCATTAACTCTGTAAATTGCTTTGGGCAGTATATTAACAATATTGATTCTTCCTATTCATGTTCATGAAATATTTTTCAATCTGTGTTGTTTCTGATTTCTTTCTTTTTTTTTTTTTTTTGAGACGGAGTCTCAGTCTTGTTGCCCAGGCTGGAGTGCAATGGCGCGATCTCAGCTCACCGCAACCTCCGCCTCCTGGGTTCAGGCAATTCTCCTGCCTCAGCCGCCTGAGTAGCTGGGATTACAGGCACGCGCCACCATGCCCAGCTAATTTTTTGTATTTTTAGTAGAGATGGGGTTTCACCATATTGACCAGGATGGTCTCGATCTCTCGACCTCGTGATCCACCCGCCTCGGCCTCCCAAAGTGCTGGGATTACAGGATTGAGCCACCGCGCCCGGCCGAGACTACGGGTTTTCTAAGTATAGAATCACATCATCTACAAAAGAAACTGCCTTCCTCTCTTCCTATTTGTATATGCCTTTTCTTTATCTTGCCTGACTGCTCAGCTTAGGACTTCCAGTACTATGTTGAATAGAAGTGGTGAGAATGGTCATCCCTGCTGTGTTACAGTTCTCAAGGGGAATGCTTCCGGCTTTTGCCCATTCAGTATTATGTTGGCTGTGGGTCCATCATAGATGGTTCTTATTGAAGTATGTGCCCTCCATGTGTAATTTGTTGAGGGCTTTTAATATGAAGGAATGTTGAACTGCAATAAAAACCTTTCTGCATATAAAGAGATGATCATGGTCATGTGGATTTTGTTTTTACTTCTGTGTATGTGATGAATCACATTTATTGATTTGTGTATACTGAACCAACCTTGCAGTCCAACAGTAAAGCCTGCTTGATCATGGTGGATTAGCTTTTTGATGTGCAGATGGATCTGGTTCACTATTATTTTGTTAAGGATTTCTGCACCTATGTTAACCAGAAATACTGGCCTCAAGTCTTCTTTTTTCATTGGGTCTGTCAGGTTTTGGTATTAGAATGAAGCTGGCCTCATATAATTAGACAGGAGTCTCTCTGGATCTATGTTTTGAACAGTTTCAGTACAATTGGTAACAGCTCTTCTTTTTTTTTTTTAAAGACAGTGTTTCACCATATTGGTCAGGCTGGTCTCGAACTCCTGACCTCAGGTGATCCGCCCGCCTCAGCCTCCCAAAGTGCTGGGATTACAGGCGTGAGCCACCACGCCCAGCTACAGCTCTTCTTTATAATCTGGTAGAACTGAACTATAAATCTGTTGGGTCCAGAGCTTTTTTGATAGCTTTTTAATTACTGATTCAATTTGGGAACTCACTATTGGTCTGTTCAAGATGGCAATTTCTTCTTAGGTTGGGCTCTTCTGGTTCCAAGTAAATTTTAAATGTTTTGTTGGTTCAGTCTTGGGTGGGTTATATCTTTCCAGCAATTTATCAATTTCTTCTAGGTTTTTTAGTTTGTGCATATAGGTACGCACAGTAATCTCTGAGGGTTTTTAATATTTCTGTGGGATTGGTGGTAATGTCACCTTTGTCATTTCTGATTGTTTTCTTTAGATCTCCTTTTTCAAGGTATGAAATTTCGTTGAAGACTTTTCCACACATTCATTACAATTGTGAAGTCTCTTCAGCATATATTCTCTAATGAATTATTAGAAAAAGTTGTGTTTGGGGGCTGGGTACGGTGGCTCAAGCCTGTAATCCCAGCACTTTGGGAGGCTGAGGTGGGTGGATCACGAGGTCAAGAGATCAAGACCATCCTGGTCAACATGGAGAAACCCTGTCTCTACTAAAAAAAAAAAAGTAGCTGGGCATGGTGGCACATGCGTGTAATCCGAGCTACTCAGGAGGCTGCGGCAGGAGAACTGACTGAACCCAGGAGGCGGAGGTTTCGGTGAGCTGAGATTGTGCCATCGCACTCCAACCTGGGTAACAAGAGCGAAGAAACTCTGTCTAAAAAACAAACAAACAAACAAAAAAGTTGTGTTTGAAGACCTTGTCATATTTTTTACATTTCCAAATTTCTTTGCAGTATGGAGTAACAGATGGGTAGCAAGGCTTGAGTGCACACTAAATTATTTGACATATTTATTACATGTGTAGTTTCTATCCCGTATGAACCGTCCAGTGTTGTGCTAGGTATGAAAGGCGAGTGAAGGCCTTATCACACTCATTACATTTGTAAGGTTTCTCTCCAGTATGAGTTTTCCGGTGTCGTGCAAGGTGTGCAATCCGATTGAAAACCTTGCCACACTCATTACATTTGTAAGGTCTTTCACCAGTATGGATTCTCTGATGATTGGTGAGGGATAACTTGTGTCTGAATGCCTTGCCGCATTCATTACATTTGTAAGGCTTCTCTGCAGTGTGGATTACAAGATGGGCTGTAAGGCCCGAATACTCACTAAATGCTTTACCACATTCATTACATTTGTAAGGCTTCTCTCCGGTGTGAATTCTTCGATGTCGTGCAAGATTTGAAAGTTGATTAAATAGTTTTCCACATTCATTGCATTTGTAAGGTTTCTCTCCCGTATGAATTCTCCAATGTTGTGCTAGGTGTGAATTTTGAATAAAGACCTTACCACATTCATTACATTTGTAAGGTTTTTCTCCAGTATGAATTTTCTGATGTCGTACAAGGAGTGCAACTCTATAGAAGGCCTTGCCACATTCATCACATTTGTAAGGCTTCTCTCCAGTATAAATTCTCCAGTGATTTGATAGAGATGACTTATGACTGAAGCCCTTACCACATTCATTACATCTGTAAGGTTTCTCTTCAACATGAATTCTTTGATGTCGTGCAAGGTAAGAATTGTTGCTGAAGACTTTACCACATTCATTACATTCATAAGGCTTCTCTCTGATATGAATTCTTTGATGTCGTGCAAAGTTTGAATTGTAACTAAAAACCTTGCCACAGTCATTACATTTATAAGGCTTCTCTCCGGTATGAATTCTCCAATGTTCTGCAAGGTGTGAATTACGACTAAAGACCTTGCCACATTCATTACATTTATAAGGTTTCTCTGTGGTATGGATTACTTGATCGTTGGTCAGGCTGGAAGACACTCTAAAGACTTTGCTGTGCTCATGACATTCATAAGGTTTTTCTCTAATGTGTACTTTCTGTTCTTGCAGGAGTAATGAAGAGTCATCAAAATCATTCCTATTAAAAACAGGGGTTTTGACAGTGGAAGGAATTTCTTGAAGAGAGGAAACAGAGGAACTGTGGTTGATAAAGTTTTCAACTTGATTACATTCATTTATTACCCTTTCATCTGGAAATATCTCCAGTTCGGACAGATGTAAGTGAAAGGATACTCCAAGCTGTGTTTTAATTGGTTTGTTTCCTGCATTGCCTCCCAGTGCACAGCTGCTCCCTAAAAAAAAAACAAGAAAAGAGTGAAAATCAGATCCATAATTCTGGCATGTTTAGAGTCTGATGAAAAAACTAGAATCTGCCTCATCTGACTCAAACCCTGTAAGAAATATCAGCATACTTTGTACGTCACATTGGCAGTGCTGAAAACAGAAAAGGGTAAGGTGATGCCCTGGGGTGCTGAGAAATCTGTAGGAATCAGGAGGATTATGGGTGAGTTTGGGAGGGATTGTGAGCAGAGAAACAGAACAGGAATTGTAAGCTTCTGAGAAACTCCATCTCTACTAACAATACAAAAATTAGCAAGGCGTCATAGCATATACATGTAAACTGAGATCATGCCGTTGCACTCCAGCCTAGGCAACAGGGCAAGACTCCCTTTCGGAGGGAGCGGGGCTGTATCAGCTCCAAAGACCAAAAACAAAAAACAGTGAAGAAAAGCAAACAAACAACTAGAAAGTTTTTGGATGCTCGCAAGTAGAATATACAAATTATTAGAGGTTCATAAGGAGAAGACAGAGGATCAGAAATTGCAAATGAAGAAATAATTGTCTAAATAATTGTCCAAATCCCAGTTCTGAAGAAAGACCTGAATATACACTTGAAGAAGCTTGACTATTAGGATGAAAATCAATCCAAGGATATTTGACAGAGATACATTATAAACAAATTATCAAACATCAAAGACAGGGGAAGAATCTTGACAGTAGCAACAAAAAAGATACTTGCAATCTAGAGGAAAACATACAAGAGCATGTACTTTTCCAGCAGAAACTTTGCATGCTAGAAGGCAGTGAGATTATATATTGAAAGTGCTTAAAAACAACCAAGAATACTGTATTTAGCAAAAGGCACCTGTAAAAACAAAGGAGAAATTTAGACTTTCCATGATAAAGAAGAGCTAAGGAAGTTCATTAGTGCTATAGACCTGTCCAACAAGAAATGCTCCAGAGAGTCCTTCAAAATAAAATAAAAGGAATCGAGAGGCCGGGCGCGGTGGCTCAAGCTTGTAATCCCAGCACTTTGGGAGGCCGAGGCGGGTGGATCACGAGGTCGAGAGATCGAGACCATCCTGGTCAACATGGTGAAACCCCGTGTCTACTAAAAATACAAAAAATTAGCTGGGCATGGTGGCACGTGCCTGTAATCCCAGCTACTCAGGAGGCTGAGGCAGGAGAATTGCCTGAACCCACGAGGTGGAGGTTGCGGTGAGCCGAGATCGCGCCACTGCACTCCAGCCTGGGTAACAAGAGCGAAACTCCGACTCAAAAAAAAAAGGAATCCAGATAGTACTGGCAACCCAAATGAGAAGATAAATTCTCCACTGAAATAAATAAATGGGCCAGGTGCAGTGGCTCACAACTGTAATCTCATCACTCTGACAGGCCGAAGCAGGCGGATTGCTTGAGGTCAGGAGTTTGGGATGAGACTGGCCAACACGGTGAAACCCCATCTCTACTAAAAATACAGAAATCGCATGGCGGTGCATGCCTGTAATCCCAGCTACTTGGGAGGCTGAGGCAGGCGCATCACTTGAACCTGGGAGGCGGAGGTTGCAGTGAGTCAAGATTGCACCACTGCACCTCAGCCTGGGTGACATAGCGAGACTCCATCTCAAAAGGAAAAAAAAGTAAATAAATGATCAAACAGAGACATGTATCACTGCACTTTTTATTTGTAACTTTGCTTTTAATTCTTCCCTAGCATGTGAAAGACAAAATCTTATGAAGCACTATAATATATGTTTACGGGGACAGAACATATACAGGAGCAATTTCTGCCATTACTAACATAAAGTGAGAGCAAGGTCATACAGTAGTGCTTTGTGCACAGAATCAAAGTCAAGCTGTTAACACTTTATTTATTTATTTATTTATTTATTTATTTATTTATTTTGAGACAGAGTTTCGCTCTCGTTACCCAGGCTGGAGTGCAATGGCGCGATCTCAGCTCACCGCAACCTCTGCCTCCTTGGCTAAGGCAATTCTCCTGCCTCAGCCTCCTGAGTAGCTGGGATTACAGGCACGCGCCACCATGCCCAGCTAATTTTTTTGTATTTTTAGTAGAGACGGGGTTTCACCATGTTGACGAGGATGGTCTCGATCTCTTGACCTCGTGATCCACCCGCCTCGGCCTCCCAAAGTGCTGGGATTACAGGCTTGAGCCACCGCGCCTGGCCTTTTTTTTTTTTTTTTTAAATTAGCAAGGCACAGTGCTATGCACCTGTAGTCCCAGCTACTTGGGAGGCTGATACATGAGGACTGATTGATGCCAACAGTTCCAAGCTTCTGTGAACTATGATCGTACCACCGCACTCCATCCTGGGTGATGGAACAAGACCCAATCTCAAACAAAATGAAAATAAAAGTTACATATCAACAACCTAACCTTATACCTCAATGAAGTAAACAGACCAGGTGTAGTTGCTTACGCCTGTAATTCCAGCACTTTGGGAGGCCAAGGTCAAGGTTAGGAGTTCAAGACCAGCCTGACCAATATGGTGAAATCCCATCTCTACTAAAAATGTAAAAATTAGAAAAATTAGGTGGGTGTGGTGGCCCATGCCTATATAGTCCCAGCTACTCAGGAGACTGAGGCAGAAGAAATGCTTTAACTCAGGATTGGGAGGTTGCAGTGAGCGGAGACAGCGCCACTGCACTCCAGCCTGGGTGACAGAGCCAGAATCTATCTTAAAAAAAAAGAGAGAAAAGGCCGGGCGCGGTGGCTCAAGCCTGTAATCCCAGCACTTTGGGAGGCCGAGGCGGGTGGATCACAAGGTCAAGAGATCGAGACCATCCTGGTCAACATCGTGAAACTCCGTCTCTACTAAAAATACAAAAAATTAGCTGGGCATGGTGGGGCATGCCTGTAATCCCAGCTACTCAGGAGGCTGAGGCAGGAGAATTGCCTGAACCCAGGAGGCGGAGGTTGCGGTGAGCCGAGATCGCGCCATTGCACTCCAGCCTGGGTAACAAGAGCGAAACTCCGCCTCAAAAAAAAAAAAAGAGAGAAAAAAGAAGTAAACTAAACACAAAGGTAGCGGAAAGAAAAAATAAAGATGGCCAGGCGTGGTGGCTCAAGCCTGTAATCCCAGCACTTTGGGAGGCCAAGGTGGGCGGATCACAAGGTCAAGAGATCGAGATCATCCTGGTCAACATGGTGAAACCCCGTCTCTACTAAAAATACAAAAAATTAGCTGGGCATGGTGGCACATGCCTGTAATCCCAGCTACTCAGGAGGCTGAGGCAGGAGAATTGCCTGAACCCAGGAGGCGGAGGTTGCGGTGAGCCGAGATCGTGCCATTGCACTCCAGCCTGGGTAACAAGAGTGAAACTCCGTCTCAAAAAAAAAAAAAAGAAAAAAGAAAGACTCAAAAACAAAGAATAGAGAAGCACTAGAGAAAGTCATGAAATTAAAGGTTCATAGTATTGGGTTTTTAATTTTTTTTTGTTTTTTTTTTTGAGACAAAGTTTTGCTCTGTTATCCCGGCTGGAGTGCAGCGAGGCCACCTTGGCTCACTGCAACTTCCACCTCCCGGGTTCAATTGGTTCTCCTGCCTCAGCCTCCAGAGTAGCTGGAATTACAGGCATGTGCCACCACGCCCAGCTAATTTTTGTTTTTTGAAACAGAGTCTCACTCTTGTCACCCAGGCTGGAGTGCAATGGTATGATCACAGCTCACTGCAACCTCCACTTCCCAGGTTGAAGCGTTTCTCCTGCCTCAGCCTCTCGAGTAGCTGGGATTACAGATGCCCGCTACCATACCTAGATAATTTTTGTATTTTTAGTAGAGAAAGGGTTTCACCATGTTGGCCAGGCTGGTCTCAAATTCCTGATTTTAAGTGATCTGCCTGCCTTGGCCTCCCAAAGTGCTAGGATTACAGGGGTGAGCCAACACACCTAGCCAGCCCAGACAATTTTTTTGTATTTTTAGTAGAGACAGTGTTTTACCGTGTTGGCCAGGCTGCTATTGAACTCATGACCTCAAGTGATCTGCCTGCCTCAGCCTCCCAAAGTGCTGGGATCCCAGGCACGGGCCACCACACCCGGCCAAGGGTTCATGTGAATGAATGATAAGAAGACTGGCAAACCTTTAGTAGATACCCTGAAAAAAAAAAAAAACACCAAAAAACCATGAAGCATGACATTCAAATGTCTAAAATTAGAAATGGAAAAGAGGAAATTACAAATGAATGGTTACAGGCAGGGCGCAGTGGCTCAGGCCTGTAATCCAGCACTTTAAAGAGGCCACTGTGGGCAGATCACTTGAGGTCAGGACTTTAAGACCACCCTGACCAACATGGCAAAATAATCTCTATTAAAAATACAAAAATTGCCAGACATGGTGGCTCACACCTGTAATCTCAGCACTCTGGGAGGCCAAGGCAGGTGGATCACAAGGTCAGAAGTTCACCAGCCTGGCCAAGATGGTGAAACCTGTCTCTACTAAAAACACAAAAATTAGCTGGTGGCAGGCACCTGTAATTCCAGCTACTCAGGAGGCTGAGGCAGGAGACTCACTTGAACCTGGGTGGCAGACATTGCAGTGAGCTGAGATTGTGCCACTGCACTCCAGCCTGGGCAACAGAATGAGACTCTGTCTCAAAAAATTAAAATGAAAATAAAACCCACTAATGAATGTTTACAAATGAAAATGAGTTAAAGAAAATGAGATTGAATAATTGTGTGAGAACATGAAACATGATAATGAAAAAAAAAAAGAATAAATTTCTAGAGAGACACCACTTACCAAGACTGAAGCATGAAGAAGCAGAAACTATCCACACCAGTAACAAATGAGGAGATCAAGTAACGTATCAAAAAGCTGCCAACTACAATAACAATGGACCAGATGACCTCACTGTAAAATTCTATCAGACACTGAAAAAACATTTAACACCAGTACTCCTAAAAATCTTCCATGAGGGCCGGGCGCGGTGGCTCAAGCCTGTAATCCCAGCACTTTGGGAGGCCGAGGCAGGTGGATCACGAGGTCAGGAGATCGAGACCATCCTGGTCAACACGGTGAAACCCCATCTCTACCAAAAATACAAAAAATTAGCTGGGCATGGTGGCGCGTGCCTGTAATCCCAGCTACTCAGGAGGCTGAGGCAGGAGAATTGCCTGAACCCAGGAGGCGGAGGTTGTGGTGAGCCGAGATGGCACCATTGCACTCCAGCCTGGGTAACAAGAGGGAAACTCCGTCTCAAAAAAAAAAAAAAAAAAAAAAAAAAATCTTCCATGAGGGTGACGAGAACGCTTCCGCTCATTTAATACGAGCAGGGTTACCTTGAACGCAAAGGCCAAGGCCCTAAAGAAAACTGCAGAGGAGTATTTCTGATTAACCGAATGCAAAAACCTCCAACAAAATGCTAGCAAAACAAATTCATTAGCATGTTAAAATGGATCACGCACTACGACAAAGCAGAATTTATTCTAGGAATGCAAGGATTACGCGACTTATGAACATGAATCCATGTGATACCTGACAATAACAGAATAAAGAGAAAAAAACCCACACAATGATCTTGGCTAATACAGAAAAACATTTGAAAAACTTCAACAATCACTTATGATAAAAACACTCAACACGCTAGGAAGACAAAGCATCTACTTAACAGCGGCCACATGAAAAACGCCACCAGGTAACATCATATTCCATGCTTAAGGAATGAAGAGTTTGCCTCCATAATTAGGGGGGAAAAAGCAACGCAGAAATCCTACTTGCATTATTTCTATTCAGAATACAGCTGTTTCTTCGATTCCAGGGAAGACTGGTTCTAGAATTCCCACGTAGTGTTATAATACACAGAGATGTAGGCCGAGCACGGTGGCTCACGCCTGTAATCCCAGCACTTTGGGAGGCCAAGGTGGGCAGATCACAACGTCAAGAGATGGAGAGCATCCTGGCTAACATGGGGAAACCCCGTCTCTATTAAAAATACAAAAAATTAAGCCAGGCGCGGTGGCTCAAGCCTGTAATCCCAGCACTTTGGGAGGCCGAGGCGGGTGGATCACGAGGTCGAGAGATCGAGACCATCCTGGTCAACATAGTGAAACCCCGTCTCTACTAAAAATACAAAAAACTAGCTGGGCGTGGTGGCGCGTGCCTGTAATCCCAGCTACTTAGGAGGCTGAGGCAGGAGAATTGCCTGAACCCAGGAGGCGGAGGTTGCGGTGAGCCGAGATCGCGCCATTGCACTCCAGCCTGGGTAACAAGAGCGAAACTTCGTCTCAAAAAAAAAAAAAAAAATACAGAAAATTAGCCAGGCGTGGTGGTGCACCCCTGTAATCCCAGCTACTCAGGAGGCTGAGGCATGAGAATCACTTGAACCCAGGAGGCAGAGAATGCAGTGAGCCAAGATCGCGCCACTACACTCCCGCCTGGGCAAAAGAGTGAGACTCCATCTCAAAAAAAAAAAAAAAAAAGGAATTAAAAATAAATAATACACAGAGATATATACACTGGTGGTTACCCACGGCTCCTGCCTAATAACTCCCATAGCCCCTGTTACAGTCTCTGGTTATAATGTTGGGTGTGTTAGGCCTTCCCTACAGGCCTCAGGACACAGAACCTCTCTAACCTTCTCTTGCGTTCCTTTCACCTGTCTCAAGGCAGGACTCTCATCTTCCCCCAGCTTTCTGATTGTGGGTCTTAGGACCTTCCCCAGAGGGTCCCGCTCTACACTCTATCGGAAGGAAGGCTGACCATAAACATCCGTGAGGACTGGGTTCAGTGAGTTTCCCGATGGCTGAACATACGGAGATTCCCAGACGGTGATGCACCCAGCTTCGAAGGACATGGAAGCTTCATGCCCCTTGGCCCATACCTTGCCCAACATGTTTCTTTCTCGGTACCCTTTGAAATATCTTTTATAATAAACCGGTAATATTAAGTGTTTTTGTGAGCTTTGTGATCTGTTCCAGCAAATTAATAAAGCCCAAAGAAGGGGCCAAGGGAACCCCTACTTGATGCCCTTTGGTGAGACGTTCTGGACGCCTAGGCTTGTAACTGGTGAGAAGAGGGCAAGTCTTGGAGACTGAGCCTTCAACCTGTGGGATCTGGCCGATATGGCGAAACCCCATCTCTACTAAATGCAAACTTAGCTGGGTGTGGCGGCAGGTGCCTGTAATCCCAGCGACTCGGGAGTCTGAGGCAGGAGAAGCATTTGAACCTGGGAGGAGGAGGTTGCAGTGAGCCAAGATTGTGCTTCTGCACTCCAGTGTGCTGGGCAACAGAGCAAGACTCACTCTCCAATTAAAAAAAAAAAAAAAAAAAAAAAAAGAAAAGTGGTGGTAAGGCACGGTGGCTCACGCCTGTAATCCCAGCACTTTGGGAGGCCGAGGTAGGCGGATCACCAGAGATCAGGAGTTCAAGACCAGCCTAGGCAACATGGTGAAACGCTGTCTCTACTAATAATAAAAAAATTAGCTAGGCATGGTGGCACACACCTGTAATCCCAGGGGCTTGCGGGGGCTGAGGCAGGAGAATTGCTTGAATCTGGGAGGGAGAGGCTGCAGTGAGCTGAGATGGAGCCACTGCACTCCAGCCTGGGAGACAAGAGTGAAACTCTGTCTCAAACAAACAAACAAAGATAGTAAAAAATTTTTTAAAAATGAAGACGTGATCTTGAAGAGATACTTAAAAACCCATGCTCAAGGCTGAGCTCTGTGGCTCACAACTGTAATCCCAGCACTTTGGGAGGCCGAGGCAGGTGGATCACAAGGTCAGGAGTTTGAGACCAGCCTGGCCGAAATGGTGAAACCCCACTTCTACTGAAAATACAAAAATTAGCTCGGCATAGTGGCGTGCGTCTATCGTCCAAGCTACTCAGGAGGTTGAGGCAGGAGAAATTGCTTGAACCTGGGAGGTAGAAGTTGCAGTGAGCCGAGATCACACCACTGTACTCCAGCCTGGGTGACAGAGTGAGACTCCATCTCAAAAAAACAAAAACAAAAACAAAACCCATGTTCATAGCAGCATTATTCAAAATAATAAAGAGGTAGATGTAATGCATGTGTTCACCAATGGATGGATAGTTAAACAAACTGTGGTACAGACAACAGAAAAACACTATTCAGTCCTAAAAGAATATACAGTTTTTCAGCCGGGCGCGGTGGCTCAAGCCTGTAATCCCAGCACTTTGGGAGGCCGAGGTGGGTGGATCACGAGGTCTAGAGATCGAGACCATCCTGGTCAACATGGTGAAACCCCGTCTCTACTAAAAATACAAAAAATTAGCTGGGCATGGTGGCACGTGCCTGTAATCCCAACTACTCAGGAGGCTGAGGCAGGAGAATTGCCTGAACCCAGGAGGCGGAGGTTGCGGTGAGCCGAGATCGTGCCATTGCACTCCAGCCTGGGTAACAAGAGCGAAACTCCGTCTCAAAAAAAAAAAAAAAAAAATACAATTTTTCTGATGTGCTACAAAATAGATGAACCTGAAAGACACTACACTAAGTGAGATAAGCCAGTCATAACAAGATAAATACTGTATGATTCCACTTGAGTATCCAAAATACTGAAATTCATACACACAGAAAGGAAGCAGGGAGGAAAGAGAGTGAAATTGTGGGGGAAATGAGTTAAATATTCCTGGCAAGCAATTAAATCTAAATTCAAAATAAAAAATAAGATCAGGCATGGTGGCTCATGCCAGTAATTAAGAGTAATTATGAAGGCCCAGGCAGGAGGATTGCTTGAGCCCAGGGATTCAAAATCAACATGGGCAACATGGCCAGATTCCTATAGCTGCAAAATAAAAAGAGGCTGGGTACAGTGGCTCACTCCTATAATCCCAGCACTTTGGGAGGCCGAGGCAGGCGGATCACTTAATGTCACGAGTTTGAGACCAGCCTTGACAACATCGTGAAACCCCATCTCTACTAAAAATACAGAAAACATTAGCCAGGCATGGTGGCAGGTGCCTGTAATTGCAGAAACCTGAGAGGCTGAGGCAGCAGAATCCCTTGAACCCGGGGGGTGGAGATTATAGTGAGCTGAGATCGCCCCACCGCACTCCAGCCTCAGCAACAGAGTGAAATTCCATCTCAAATAAGTAAATCCAGAGAGAAAAAGAAAGAAAAAAGAAAATCTCCAATCAAAAAAATCTCCAGCCACCACGCCCGGCCGAGATTTTATTTTTTCTTTCTTTTTAAATATATATATATATATATATATAAAATATATATATTTTTTGGAGACCAAGTCTTGCTTTGTCTACCAGGCTCTGTTTCATGACAGAGTGACACTGTCTCAAAAACAAGACAAACTCGAAAACAGAAACAAAAAACCCAAACAAGACAAAACGAAAAAGCCCAAACAACAGCGTGGCTTCCCCCCTGCCCATGTGAGCTCTTACCTTTGTTTACAACTTTCATGCCTTCCCTCCTGTCTGAACTTTTTGCTATTTTCACTTCATTCTCACCAGACCAGAGCTCCCTCCTTTGCTTCAACATGGAGTTAATATTCAGGTCAGGAAGAGAGACTCCTGTTTGTAAAAAAAAGAATCAGAATGTGCTGTGGCATCTCTAAAACCCAAGCCCTCTGTCCTAGGGGAGAGGCTATCACAAATGAATCAAAAATAATGTTTCACAAAAGCCGGGTGCAGTGGCTCACGCCTGTAATCCCAGCACTTTGGGAGGCCAAGGCGGGTGGATCACGAGGTCAAGAGACCGAGACCATCCTGGTCAACACCCCGTCTCTACTAAAAATACAAAAATTAGCTGGGCATGGTGGTGCACGCCTATAGTCCCAGCTACTAGGGAGGCTGAGGCAGGAGAATTGCTTGAACCCAGGAGGCGGAGGTTGCGGTGAGCCGAGATCGCGCCATTGCACTCCAGCCTGGGTAACAAGAGCGAAACCCCGTCTCAAAAAAAAAAACATAATGTTTCACAAAACCATCCACAGACTGCCTCCTTCTGAATGCTTAGGGAATACTGTAACATGCAGACATCGAGCCCCCTTCCAAGAATTCCTGAGTATAAAGCCCAGGATAGAAAACACCGACATGGGCATCTTAAAAGTTTGCCGTAAGGTTTTATGCAGCTGGGTGTGGTGGCTCATGCCTGTAATCCCAGCACTTTGGGAGGGTGGACTAATGAGGGTGGACTGCTTGAGCCCAGGGGTTTAAGACCAGCCTGGCCAACACTGTAAAAAAGAGAAATACAAAAATTAGGACGGGCGCGGTGGGTCAAGCCTGTAATCCCTGCACTTTGGGAGGCCGAGGCGGGTGGATCACGAGGTCGAGAGATCGAGACCATCCTGGTCAACATGGTGAAACCCCGTCTCTATTAAAAATACAAAAAAAAATTAGCTGGGCATGGTGGCACGTGCCTGTAATCCCAGCTACTCAGGAGGCTGAGGCAGGAGAATTGCCTGAACCCACGAGGCGGAGGTTGCGGTGAGCCGAGATTGCGCCATTGCACTCCAGCCTGGGTAACAAGAGTGAAACTCCGTCTCAAAAAAAACAAAAAAAACAAAAAAAACAAAAAAACAAAAAAACAAAAACAAAAATTAGCCAGGCATGGTGGCAGACGCCTGTAATCCTGGTTACTAGGGAAGCTGAGGCTCAAGTGAGCCAAGAGCACATCAATGCCCTCCAGCCTGGGCAACAGAGCAAGACTCAATTTCAAAAACAAACAAGAAAGGTTCTATGCATACTGCAGCCCTGGTAACCCCCAATGATATATACTGAAGGGGATAGAGTATCTGAAGAAAAAGACATTTCAACTCCAGAAAACACTATGGAGCTTTTCATTTTTGAGTCTACAGTTTTTTTTGGGTTTTTTTTTTTGAGACGGAGTTTTGCTTTTGTTCCCAGGCTGGAGTGCAGTGGTGTGATCTCGGCTCACTGCAACCTCTGCCTCCCTGATTCAAGCGATTCTCCTGCCTCAACCTCCCCAGTGGCTGGGATTACAGGAACCCACCACTGCAGCTGGCTAATGTTTGTATTTTTAGTGGAGACAGGGTTTCACCATGTTGGCCAGGCTCATCTCGAACTCCTGACCTCAGGTGATCAGCCTGCCTCAGCTTCCCAAAGAGCTGGGATTACAGGCCTGAGCCACCATACCCTTCCCAAGTCAACAAAGTCTTAATCTCAGTCAAGCAATACAGAGGCTTCCAGGAGGCACTCGAGGGAAAGTGCCAAGATATCAAGGGCAGATCCCGGCTTCTGCAGGGACCAGATCCTCACCCAGGGAGACCAGGTTCCTGTAGTTCTCCAACATCACGTCCTTGTACAAAGCCCTCTGTGCAGGGTCCAGGCATTTCCACTCCTCCTGAGAAAATTCTATGGCCACATCCGTGAATGTCAAGTGTCCCTAAAATGAAAACACATTTTACCAACAGGATACGGAAAGGGTATTTGTCTTCACTCACAATGAGAAGAGAGTTGGAAAGATTAACTCGATTGAAGTGAAAGTCCTGACAAATCCACATTAAGGTATTTGTGATGTAGCTGTGTCTATAATGTGTTTTTTTCTTTTCTTGAGACAGAGTCTTGCTCTGTCACCTAGGCTGGATCGCAGTGGTGCCATCTTGGCTCACTCCAATCCCCGCCTCCTGGATTCAATCAATTCTCGTGCCTCAGCCTCCCAGGTAGTTAGGATTATAGGTGTGAGCCATCACACCTGGCTAACTTTCGTATTTTCAGTAGAGACATAATTTCGCCATGCTGGCCAGGCTGGTCTCGAACTTCTGATCTCAACTGGTCCTCACATCTCAGTCTCCCTAAGTGCTGGGATTACAGACATGAGCCACCAACACAGCCTGTTAATTGTGGTTTATTATACTTTTCCATATGAAGTTATATATATATATATATATATATATATATATATATATTTTTTTTTTTTTTTTTTTTTTTTTTTTGAGATGGAGTTTCGCTCTTGTTACCCAGGCTGGAGCGCAATGGTGCGATCTTGGCTCACTGCAACCTCTGCCTCCTGGGTTCAGGCAATTCTCCTGCCTGGGAGGCAATTCTCCTGAGTAACTGGGATTACAGGCACGCGCCACCATGCCCAGCTAATTTTTTGTATTTTTAGTAGAGACGGGGTTTCACCATGGTGACCAGGATGGTCTTGATCTCTTGACCTCGTGATCCACCTGCCTCGGCCTCCCAAAGTGCTGGGATTACAGGCGTGAGCCACCGCGCCCGGCAAGAAGTTATATTTTAAAAATCAATATAGATACTCATTTTTTTGGCATTTAAGAAACAAAAATAAGAGGCCGGGTGTGGTGGCTCATGCTTGTGGTCTCAGTTACTTGGGAGGCTGAAGTAGCAGAATCACTTGAACCCAGGAGGCAGAGGTTATAATCAGCTGAGATCATGTCAGTGCACTCCAGCCTGGCGACAGAGGAAGTCTCCTTCTCAAAGAAAAGAAAAACAAAGAAATACAAATAAGAAACCCACAGTTATCTCTATAATCTCTATAGAAGAAATAGATATTATTTTCAACACTCCAATAGAAGTGGCATCTTTAGAGATGACAATATCTGCAGTGGCTTAAAAAAGAAAGAATTGTAAGCCAGATGCGGTGGCTCACACCTATAATCCCAGCACTTTGGGAGGCCGAGGTTGGCAGATCACCCGAGGTCAGGAGTTCAAGACCAGCCTGGTCAATATGGTGAAACTCCATCTCTACTAAAAATACAAAAATCAGCCAGGCGTGCTGGTGGGTGCCTATAATCCCAGTTTCTCAGGAGGCTGAGGCAGTAGAATCGCTTGAACCCGACACAGGGAGGTTGCAGTGAGCCGAGGTCATGCCACACTGCACTCCAGCCTGGGCTACAGAGTGAGACTCTGTCTCAAAAAAAAAAAAAAAAAAAAAAAAAAAAAGGAATCATAAAACTGTGATGATAACAATAACAATGACTGAAGCTTTCAAACACTTCCCATGTGATAGGCACTACTCTAAATGCTTTAAATGTACTAACTGCTATGACAACAAAAGCCCATGAAAGAAAGAGCTATGTCTTACTGAGAAGACAACTGTGTCACAGGTATTCTAAAAAACTCGCCCCAGGTGTAAGGGCTAAAAACAGCAGAGTAAGCACTGATCCCCAGGTATCCGAGCATTAGAACGAAACCTCAAGAATCAAACAATGAAGAGATCAGCATCAAAAGTAAAATGACGCCGGGCACGGTGGCTCAAACCTGTAATCCCAGCACTTTGAGAGGCCGAGGCAGGTGGATCACGAGGTCAAGAGATCGAGACCATCCTGGTCAACATGGTGAAACCCCGTCTCTACTAAAAATACAAAAAATTAGCGGGGCATGGTGACGCGTGCCTGTAATCCCAGCTACTCAGGAGGCTGAGGCAGGAGAATTGCCTGAACCCAGGAGGCAGAGGTTGCGGTGAGCCGAGATCGCGCCATTGCACTCCAGCCTGGGTAACGAGAGCAAAACTCCGTCTCAAAAAAAAAAAAAAAAAAAACGTAAAATGACAATTACCTAATTGAAAAAGGTTAAAACAAGTTCAGGGATAAAATCACAGACCTGCATAAAAAGTCATTACATGTGAGTACACACATGTATCCCATAAATGTTACTATTCACAGCTATCGACTCATTATTACAATGGTGTAGGACAATTTCTGTGGTCATGGAAAATATTTCAGTGTAATTTCAACTGTTAAAAAAATATATATATATGTATATAAAAAGATGATGTGCCTTTAACAAAACCAGAGGCTTGCTCATCTGTGCAGTCATGAACACACACTTATATATATGTATATATGTACACTTAGATGCATATACACCAGCACACATATACACTTACGCACGTCAACTGAAATAAGAGTTGTCTGTTAATAGCCTATCTTTCCGAGACAGTGTCTCACTATGTTGTCCAGGATGGATGGCGGTGGCTTATTCATAGTGCACTACAGCTTTGAACTCCTGGGGCTCAAATGTTTCTACTTCCTCAGCCTCCCAAGCAGCTGGAACTAAAGGTTTGTACCACTGCACCCACCTGTCATAGTGAGTTTTGCTATGTACATTTCAGCATGTTTGCAACAAAAATTTATAAATTGTATTCAATTTAGTTTATAAACATTATTATACATTAAGCCATTAAAAAATGGTAGACCATGAAAAAAAAACAGCAGGTTGAATTCCAATCTTTATTAAATACCCAGATTCAAAAATACAAATGTAAGCTGGGCTTGGTGGCTCACACCTGCAATCTCAGCACTTTGGGATGCCAAGGTGGGAGGACTGCTTGAGGCCAGCAGTTTGAGACCAGCCTGGGCAAGGTAGGGAGATGTCATCTCTATTTATATAAAAAACATGATATAAATATATTTAAAAATTGAGATTGAGTGTCAGCATGTTACCTAGGATAGTCTCGAACTCCTGCATTCAAGGGAATCCTACTACCTTAGCATCCCAAGAAGCTGGGATTCTACACACACGTGATTGACCCCGGACTTACATGATAATGGTGTCCATAACATTTAGGTATTTATGTATTTACAAAAGCCCAATGGGGTTTCTTTTCTTTTTATTTTTCTTTTTAAAGATGGGGTTTCACCGTGATAGCCACGCTGGTCTTGAACTCCTGACCTCAGGTGATCCATCCACCTCAGCCTCCCAAAGTGCTAGGATTACAGGCGTGAGCCACCACACTCAGCTGGGTTCATCAATATATTCCATTAACAAAATATTAATACATTACAGAAAATTTACTAATGATATAATTTAACAAATTAAGTCAAAGAAAATATCTTAGCAGTATATATCTTAAAAAATTACTATACAATTAAAAATAAGGCCAAAAATAAAAACAAAACAACCATGGTTTTATTAAGAGAACAAAAACAACCATGGTTTTATTAAGCAAGAGCAGCTTATGAAACATCATAATCAGCAGTAAACATGGCAGACATCTCTTCTACTTTCAGGCAGGGAAAAGGGGGTAGGTCTTTTCTCCAGCCAATCACCACTGCACAGAATGCGTGAGCAGGGACAAGAAGAAGAGGTTAAAAAAAAAATAGTGAGGGTTGGGGTAGGAAAGAGCTGGATTTTTTAAAAAATAATTAACAGCCGGGCGCGGTGGCTCAAGCCTGTAATCCCAGCACTTTGGGAGGCTGAGGTGGGTGGATCACGAGGTCAAGAGATCGAGACCATCCTGGTCAACATGGTGAAACCCCATCTCTACTAAAGATACAAAAAATTAGCTGGGCATGGTGGCGCGTGCCTGTAATCTCAGCTACTCAGGAGACTGAGGCAGGAGAATTGCTTGAACCCAGGAGGCAGAGGTTGCGGTGAGCTGAGATCGTGCCATTGCACTCCAGCCTGGGTAACAAGAGCGAAACTCCGTCTCAAAAAAAGAAAAAAAAAAAAATTAACAACATGACTGTAATCAAGACAAAGAATGTCATTTTAGCATATTAACTAACAAGAATATATTGGCCTAGCACAGTGGCTCATACCTGTAATCCCAGCACATTGGGAGGCCAAGGCAGGAGGATCACTTGAGGTCAGGAGTTCGTGACCAGCTTGACCAACATGGTGAAACTCCATCTCTACTAAAAATACAAAAAAAATTAGCTGGGTGTGGCAGCAGGCGCCTGTAATCTCAGCTATTCGTGAGGCTGAGGCATGAGAATAGCTTGAACCCAGGAGTCAGAGGTTGCAATGAGCTGAGATCGTGCCACTGCATTCAAGCCTGGGTGACAGAGCAAGACTCAATCTCAAAAAGAAAGAAGGCCGGTGACAGAGCGAGACTTGGTCCCCCACCACCAAAAAAAATAATCAGGCAGAAAAGGTTTCTCTTTCCTGAACTCCTTTCCTAGAATTTACTAGGTACTTGTACACAATACATGACTTCCACATGCAGCTTCTGGTCTACAGAGAGCTGACGATGCATCCCGATGTGGCCCCTGAACAATCCCTGCTACCCAGCAGCCCTGACACCACGGGGCCCACACCCCGTCTCCATCCATGTCTGGGGTCAGCCCTTCCCAGGACCATGCCCAGTGCAGCCTCTTCCCAAGCTCATGTCACCGGGTCACGGGAGATGGAATCTAAGTTACATGAGAGGGACTGAGGGAAGGCATGGGTGAGTGCCAGCAAACGTGTCAGTCAGGACGCTTCAGACTCAGAAAAAAACTCACAACTCCAATGCCTGGCATTTCAGAAAGGAAGGAGATAGAACAATCTACTGAGAATATCACTTTACCTGAGAAAGAGCCATCCCTGACTCCTCTGCTTTCCTCTTCCTTCTCTTCTTGGCTTTTTTATCACACAGCATGACACTTCAGCAGTCAGTCCTAAATGTTTAAAATACGCTGTTTAGGGCTCAGAATCAACACATTTCCCTTCCTGTGCCACAACCACACACACAGGTCAGACCGCACCCTGTGGAAAGATGTCCTCCGCTGGCCACTGCACCAGAGTTGATGCAGGGACAAGAAACTCCTCTAGGAAGAGCAAGTCAGTTTGTGGCCCCTTTCTTTAGAACTCATTCCCCTCATGGAAGCCCACACACATGCTGCCGCAGTGGGGAGCTGGGCTGGACTGAGCTGCCCCATTCAGGACACAGACCCAGCCCTGACCAAACCCCATGCAGAGCACAGCCCCCCTCCCCTCTCTGTGGATCCCAGGTTCATAGCAAATGGGTAAAACTAAGCGAAATCTTTCCTTGAGTTCTGTAAACCAAGGTAGCAAATTAATAAAACCTAAGGAGGCCGGGCGCGGTGGCTCAAGCCTGTAATCCCAGCACTTTGGGAGGCCGAGGTGGGTGGATCACGAGGTCAAGAGATCGAGACCATCCCGGTCAACATAGTGAAACCCCGTCTCTACTAAAAAAAAAATACAAAAAATTAGCTGGGCATGGTGGCACGTGCCTGTAATCCCAGCTACTCAGGAGGCTGAGGCAGGAGAATTGCCTGAACCCAGGAGGCAGAGGTTGCGGTGAGCCAAGATCGCGCCATTGCACTCCAGCCTGGGTAACGAGCGAAACTCTGTCTCAAAAAATAAAATAAAATAAAATAAAATAATAAAATAAAACCTAAGGAAAGGGTGAAGGGAATCTTCAACTTTTCGATGTTCAGTTGAAGTTCAAGTCCCAACCTGGAACTTACAACCGGCATGTGAAGTGGGGGCAGCCTTGTGGAACTGAGCCCCGAACCTGTGGGATCTGAGGCTAACTCCACGTAGACAGTGCCAACTTGAGTGAAATTACAGAACACCCAAGTGGTGTCTGATGAATTCCTTGTTGGTGGGAAGTAATCCCCACACATTTTGTTCATCAGACATGAGGCATTCTGTGTCGAGTGTTCACTATTGCGTTGATTCCAAGAGTAGGAAAAACACTTTGGTTTGCCTGCTATCTTATAAACTCGCAGTCCCAGAAAAGGAAGGTAGGTGATCCACAATGAATGACTCAAGTCACTGACCTGTGCCTGAACAGGGAATGTGAGTGGATGCCAAACTCTGATGCCAAGAATTATAAAATACACCAGCCTTACAGAAAGGAGTTTTGTACATCTCATCTTTACCTGTATTTTTTTTTTTTTAAGACGGGGTTTCACCATGTTGGTTAGGCTGGTCTTGAACTCCTGACCTCAGGTGATCCACCTGCCTTGGTCTCCAAAGTGCTTGGATTACAGGCGTGAGCTACCACACCCGGCCTTCATCTGTATTTTTTTTTTTTTTTTTTTTTTTTGAGACGGAGTTTCGCTCTTGTTACCCAGGCTGGAGTGCAATGGCGCGGTCTCGGCTCACTGCAACCTCCGACTCCTGGGTTCAGGCAATTCTCCTGCCTCAGCCTCCTGAGTAGCTGGGATTACAGGCACGCGCCACCACGCCCAGCTAGTTTTTTGTATTTTTAGTAGAGACGGGGTTTCACCATGTTGACCAGGATGGTCTCGATCTCTCGACCTCGTGATCCACCCGCCTCGGCCTCCCAAAGTGCTGGGATTACAGGCTTGAGCCACCGCGCCCGGCCTTCATCTGTATTTTTAAACCAAATTTCATATTATAAATAGAGAAATCAACGTCACAACTTAATCATAATATCCCATCAATCCACCATTCATCTGCACACAGGGTCCCCTCTTTCCTCAGTACTGTGTGTTTCCCTCCCTCATTCTGTACATTTCTCTCATTCTCACCCTCTTTTTCCAGCTTTTTTTCCCTTTCTTTCCCCCTAGGATCCTGCTCATCTTGAGCCGCTGTCTTCTCCTGATGTTTCTCCCCTTCTTCCTTCTATTACTTCTCTTCCACCTGCTTCCTTCTGGCAACTTGCTTCACCCCTTTTCCTAACTCTCTGCCCAATCTTTGATCGTCCCAATCTCCACGTATTTCTGCCTTTTTTTTTTTTTTTTTTTTTTTAGATGGATTTTTCCTCTTGTCGCCCAGGCTAAAGTGCAATGGCGCGATTGGCTCACTGCAACCTCCGCCTCCCAAGTTCAAGCGATTTTCCTGCCTCAGCCTCCCAAGTAGCTGGGATTACAGGTGCCCACAAACACATCCGGCTAATTTTTGTATTTTTAGTAGAGACGGGCTTTCTCCATGTTGACCAGGCTGGTCTCGAACCTCCTGTGACCTCAGGTGATCCACCTGCCTCGGCCTCCCAAAGTGCTGAGATTACACAACGCCCAGTTCTCCCCCTTTCCCTGTCTCTGGTCCCCCTCTGCTCCCCCTGTTAAATCCTTTCCTCCCTGTTACACCCCCTTTCCCCCGCTCTCTGGCACCCAGATATCCCAGGCCTCACCCTGCTGTGGTTCTCCCTCTGCTCTCCTTGTCACCAGCTGACCCCTCTTGCTGTCCCAGCACCAGGCTGCTCTGTCTGTCCTGGCTCCAAATTCCTCCTCCTCACCCCAACTCAGTCTGAGGAACCTCCCACTTTGCTGTCCCTCTCACTATCTTGCTGTCCTTCACGTCTCCGGAGATGGAACTTTTTCTGCATTTCTCTAGTTGCTTTTCTCCTCCTGCTACATTCTCAGCCTCATTCTCTGTCTCTGCAAATCCCGTATCTACTCTCTACTTTACTGTCTACTTATGGCTCTCCCTCAATCTTCTCTCTTTCAAAATATTTCCTTCTTTTCCCTCGTTCTCCATCTCTCTTTCTGCGCCCACTCACATGGAAGGGATTGGGATCCGATGCCCACTAGAAGAATGCCTTTTCGGTGGGGTGTTATTTGGGACGCAAGAACAGGATGTCGGGAGACAGGATAAGTCACCTCCCCACACCTAGCGTCCGGAGAAGCGGTGGCTGGGAAGAGGAGGCCTGGGGAGCAACGGGGCCCCGGATCAAGGAGGGTAAGGGTAAGGTCTGAATCAACAGTGGGGTGGGGTCTGCAGAATCCCAGAACCCGGCAGAGGTCGCGGCTTCTCCGGGATTGAGGTTGGAGCGCTGCGCTCCGGGGCCGACAAGGGCGAGAGGCTGGGGGACCGGACAGACCGGAATCCACCTCGCCAGGGTGGGCTCTACGCGGTGTAGAGCGGATGTAGGCATCACTGAAGGACGTGAATCAGGAAAACTCCGCGATAGGCGGTGACTACACGGCCCTGTGGCAGAAAGACTGGGGACAGGACCCGCCGCCGACATCAACACACAGGGAAGCGACCGCCGGACTCTCACGGAGACGCCTGAATTTGGTCGCGATAGAGGGAGCAGTGTGGGGGTTACAAGGCCCGTGTGGCCCCTCAGATCCCGGGTACAGAAGCGCGGGGGAGCTGGGAAGCACACATTCAATGTAGACAAAGGGAAACTCACGCGCCACGGCGTGACCTTCACTCCACGCGATCCGCTTCCGGGTGTGTGGGAAACTGCGCGCGCAGCGAAGGGTGTCGGAGCGGGGCGTGGCCAGGCACGGGGCGTGGCCAGGCCGGACGGGGCGGGGCAAGGAAAGGGCGGGGCCGGGAAGGGCGGGGCGGGGGCCTGCCCTTCCCTCCGCCTCGCGCCCAGCGCCTGTTTTCCAGGTTTTGCAGGTGAGACCTGTTAGCGAGGCTGGAGCAGCTCACCTGTCTCCGAACTGTATACTCTTGCCCAGCAAAACAAAGTCGGCTGATGATTACATCTGGGAAAATTCCTGCTATTAAAATTAATCTTTTTTTTTTTTTTTTGAGACGGAGTCTCGCTCTTGTTACCCAGGCTGGAGTGCAATGGCGCGATCTCGGCTCACCGCAACCTCCGCCTCCTGGGTTCAGGCAATTCTCCTGCCTCAGCCTCCTGAGTAGCTGGGATTACAGGCACGCACCACCATGCCCAGCTAATTTTTTGTATTTTTAGTAGAGACGGGGTTTCACCATGTTGACCAGGTTGGTCTCGATCTCTCGACCTCGTGATCCACCCGCCTCGGCCTCCCAAAGTGCTGGGATTACAGGCTTGAGCCACCGCGCCCGGCTAAAATTAATCTTGAGCCGGCCGTGGAGTCGGGCACCTATAATCCCTTGGGACTCAGCTATCCCGAAGGCTGAGTCACTTGAGCCAAAGAGTTCGAGTTTACACGGAGCTGTGACGGCCACTGCACTCCAGCTTGGGCGACAGAGACCCTGTCTCTGAAATAAATAAATACATAAAAACTAATTTTAGCAGTTTAATTTAAAAGCCCTGGGATTGTCTGTGAAAGCGATGTAAGTTAACATGTGAACTGAAAAGCCCTGCCTGAGTGTAATACGCAACTTCATGCTGACGGCCCACAAAGCAGAATAGAAATCCTCTCCTTTTCTATTCCCGTTCTTTCGGGAGGAACAGAGGTCACCCTGTGCTCAGCTTCAGAGTTTCCTAGGGACAGCCCCAGGGACGTACAGGGCTAAGGCCAGTGAGAAGTGAAGTCACCAGTTTTGCTTTTAAAAAAGCATTAACTGGCCGGACGTGGTGGCTCACACCTGTAATCCCAGCACTTTGGGAGGCAGAGGCGAATGGATTACTTGAGGTCAGGAGTTCGAGACCAGCCTGGCCAACAAGGTGAAACCCCGTCTCTACTAAAAACGCAAAAATTGGCTGCACATGGTGGCGCGTTCCTATAATTCCAGCTACTCGAGGTGGAAGCAGGAGAATGGCTTGAACCGGGAAGCGGAGGTTGCAGTGAGCCGAGATCGTGCCACTGCACTCCAGCCTGGGTGACAGAGAGAGAGTAAAAAAAAAAAAAAAAAAGATTAAAAAATACATGTAAATTACATAGTTCTTTTTTACATTTATGTTATTCTATTACAGTTTGAGATGAATTAACCTCAAATTCCTTTCAAACAGACTTAGTTGACATTGTAATATGCTTACATCAATAATTTCTAAGTACACTGTAATTTCAAGTTCACTTTATATGCATTCTGAAAGTAATTAGAAAACGTACTTTTAACAATCGTGATCTTTTTTAGGTGTCTTATTTTCCTAATGTTCTCTCATGTAGGAGTAACAAAGCCTAAAGAGAGTCTTCAGAAGACTCCTGGATTGATTTTCACCAAAGAACAATCTTGCAATAATACAAAAGTTATTTGGTGGGTAAGTTATTCTTCTTCATGTGAACCTAAAAGAAAGCAAAACAAAATTATCAAAATTTAAATAGCCTCATGTCTACTGGCAATGATTTTATGGCAATATTTGTGAATTAACATGCACGAATAAGTATGCTTTTCTCTCACATCCCTGTTATTGGAAGGTTGTATTCATCTTTAAGTGTTAATTAATTGAAATATGATCCTGTTGGCCAGGTGAAGTGGCTCACACCTATAATCCCAGCACTTTGGGAGGCTGAGTTGGTGGATCACTTGAGGTCAGGAGTTTGAGACCAGCCTGGCCAACATGGTGAAACCCTGTCTCTACAGAACTCTACTAAATTTACTAAATACAAAATTTAGCTGGGCCTGGTTGTGCACATCTGTAGTCCCAGCTACTTGGGAGACTAAGGCAGGAGAATTACTGGAATCAGGAGGTGGAGGCTGCAGTGAGCCGAGATCAGGCCACTGCACTCCAGCCTGGATGACAGAGTGAGACTCCATCTATCAGTCTTAAAATAAATAAATAAACAAACCCCAAATATGATCCTTTTAGGATGTAAAATTAGCATGAATTTTATGGGACCAACATGGATATAGTTTTTCTCTAATAAATAGAAATGGGTATTTCCTCAGTTAGAAAAAGATTTTTACATATGCTTACCTGTAATATCATAATGCAGATGCAAATCATTGAGGATTCAAAGTATTTTACTAAGCTAGAAACTATTTTCAACTGTTGAGTATAGTTTACAGCGTGTGACACACACACAAAAAAGAATGAACAACTTCCAACACAGATGGCATAATGAAAATATTTACATCTGTTAAAACACAATTTCATACTTTGGGAGAGATGGTATTCAAAATGATTACTATAACAGAGGATGCTCCAACCACAAGGTCTGCACATGCCCAAGAGCCACAGACAAAAGAGGTTTTATGTGGAGCAGGGAGCAAGGCTAGAGAGGTCCAGGTATGGGGCAGTGCATGAGCACCTAGCAGTGGGGACAAAGAATTCAGTAATCCGCCGGGCGCGGTGGCTCAAGCCTGTAATCCCAGCACTTTGGGAGGCCGAGGCGGGTGGATCACGAGGTCTAGAGATCGAGACCATCCTGGTCAACATGGTGAAACCCCGTCTCTACTAAAAATACAAAACATCAGCTGGGCATGGTGGTGCGTGCCTGTAATCCCAGCTACTCAGGAGGCTGAGGCAGGAGAATTGCTTGAACCCAGGAGGCGGAGGTTGCGGTGAGCCGAGATCGCACCATTGCACTACAGCAGCCTGGGTAACAAGAGCGAGACTCTGTCTCAAAAAAAATAAAAAAATAAAAAAAAAATAAAGAATTCAGGAATCCTTGATAAGTCAAAGGATGGGGGAACTTGGCCTGAGGTTACAGGTGCCTGTCACCACGCCCAGCTAGTTTTTTTTGTATTTTTAGTAGAGAAGGGGTTTCACCATGTTGGCCAGGCTGATCTCAAACTCCTGGCCTCAAGTGATCTGCCCACTGCGGTCTCCCAAAGTGCTGGGATTACAGGTGTGAGTCACTGCACCTGGCCTTTTTTTTTTTTTTTTTTTTTTTAAATGAGTGAGTCTTGCCCTGTTGCCCAGACTGGAGTGCTGTAGTGCAATCGGGGTTCATTGCAGCCTGGACCAGGCTCAAGAGATCCTCCACCTTAGCCTCCTGAGTAACTGGAATCACAGGCACAAATAATTTTCATTTTTATTTTATTTAATAATTTTATTATTATTTTTTTAAAAGATGGGGTTTCACCATGATGGCCAGGCTAGAGATGAACTCCTGACCTCAGGTGATCCACCCACCTCAGCCTCCGAAAGTGCTAGGATTACAGGTGTGAGTCACTGCGTCTGGCTATTTAATAATTTTTTGAGACAGGGTCTCGCTCTGTCACCTAGACTGGAGTGCAGGGTTTATTGCAGCCTTGACTTCCCTGGGCACAGGTGATCCTCCTAAGCCTCTACAGTAGCTAGGACCACAGGTGTGTGCCAGCATGCTCTGGCAATTAAAAAACAAACAAACAAACAAACAAAACTGTAGAGATGGGGTTTTCCTCTGTTGCTTAGGGTGGTCTTGAACTCCTGGGCTCAATTGAGTCTCCCTCTTCAGCCTCTCAAAATGCTGGGATCACAGGCGTGGGCCATGGCAACTGGCCACCCTTTGTTATTTTCTAGGAATTTGGAAGTGGAGTCAGTTTCAACATTGTCACCACATATTCTAACACGAAGTATTCAAAACATGATAAAACACACGTTATAATTGTCAAATGGAACATGAGAAAGTTTAAACTGATGATAATGTCAGCTTAAACTTGGCCCATACCTCTGTCTTTGAATGGTATTGAGGGGCCCTAAGTATTCATTGTGGTTGTCTGGTGTCTGTTCCTGTCACATACAAGAGACAACACTAACTGGGCAGTGGTGCAGGCCTGTAATCCCAGCTACACAGGACTATGAGGCAGAATTGCTGAGTCCAGGAGTTCGAGACCCGCCTGAAGAACATATGGAGACCTCCTTTCAAAAAGAGAGATATTAGGAATTGTTGCAAAATGTGTTTCTCAATTTCCATTGCTAGAGTCTCTGTACCTGTTAAATGGAACAAAAACTTAGAAGTGTATTTAGGCTCGGCGTGGTGGCTCAAGCCTGTAATCCCACCACTTTGGGAGGCTGAGGCAGGCGAGTCATCTGAGGTCAGGAATTCAAGACCAGTCTGGTCAACATGGCAAAACCCTGCCTCTACTAACAATACAAAAACTAGCAGCGAATGACGGCACACATTTATAACCCCAGCTATTCGGGAGGCTGAGGCAGGAGGATCCCTTGAGCCCGTGAGGTGGGGGCTGCAGTGAGCCAAGATTGTGCAACTGCACTCCAGCATAGATGACAGAGCGAGACTCTGTCTCAAAACAGAACAAAACAAAACAAAAAAACCAACCAACCAAAGAAAAAAACCCACAAGCATAGCATCTGGATGCAACATACGGAAAAAGAAAAAAGTAAAAAAACAGGATGTGTATACATATATAACATACAAAATATAATTTTATTAGAGTAGAAAATGAACCATGGAATATATTACTTAATGCTATAACGGGAAAATGACATTTCCATAGCTTTTGGAAAAATGCTTTCTAGTAATACCATATTTATAATAGATTTTAATAAATCCTATAAATTATATAATACATATTATAAACACTTCCACAGAATAATTTTGTCTACTGTAAAAAGTATCTTAGATGACAATTTTACTAAACAGTATTTCACAGGTGTTTTCAACAATCACATTGTACTATGAGACCTGTATCTGCACCTATAAAAAGAATGTAAGATATCATGAAGAGAATTGGAGTCTTTCCTAACCAAGATGGCTGGAGTTTCCAGAGGAAGCATTCTGTGTTGCACTAGAGTTGACTGCATTTTGTGATGTCTGAACAGTAACACCTTTTACACCTCTGCACTCCCTCTTCCTATTCTGCCCATCTAGTCAACTGATAAAGCCTCAGTGCCCATTCCTTTGGTACCAGCTGGAAGGTCAAACCACAAGCGGGCACCCGTACCCCAGTCCTACCCCTTAACAATCATAATACCCCAAGCCAGTCACCTATGTCTATTTCCTAAAGTCATTTTTGGACCAGCTGGAGAAGTCTACCTGCTCTCCCCAGAAAACCTCATTATGTAGTAACCATTTTCAGACCACGTTAGTGCATGGCGTCATCATTCTCAATATCCGAACCAAACTTCAGGTGGATGTCAAAGCAATTCCAGAGGAGTGATCAAAAGTTCAAATTACCAAAAAGGTTATGAGGGTGAAAATAGGAAGTTTCTAGTTAATCTACCAAATAAAAATTCCCACTGTGTGTTCATCTTTAAGAGAACATTTCTGAACATTAACATTTTCAAATTATGTCACTGAGTACTACAAGGTCAATACTATGATTGTTATTTTCACCCTGCAGTCCACACTTTGTATTTCTGATTCTTGAAAACGAAGGTGCCTGGGGTCTTATTTGGCACACAAGAAAAAGGCACAGGCCGGGCACGGTGGCTCAAGCCTGTAATCCCAGCCCTTAGGGAGGCCGAGGCGGGTGGATCACGAAGTCAAGAGATCGAGACCATCCTGGTCAACGAGGTGATACCCCGTCTCTACTAAAAATACAAAAAATTAGCTGGGCATGGTGGCGCGTGCCTGTGATCCCAGCTACTCAGGAGGCTGAGGTAGGAGAATTACCTGAACCCAGGAGGCGGAGGTTGCAGTGAGCCGAGATCGCGCCATTGCACTCCAGCCTGGGTCACGAGCGAAACTCCGCCTCAAAAAAAGAAAAAGGCACAAAGAAACATAATACAGCTCATGTTCACCAACAGGTGATGAAAATTTGAGGGAATACGACAAAGCTGCAGTGTTACATGGTTTTCCCTTTACCCACATAAGCATCTTAGGGCAGAACAGAGAGGTAGTTCAAGTGTGGTGGCTCATGTCTGTAATCCCAGCACTCTGGGAGGCCGAGGCAGGCAGATCACTGAGGTTGGGAGTTCGAGACCAGCCTGACCAACATGGAGAAACCCTGTCTCTACTAAAAACCTAAAAAAATTAGCTGGGTATGCTGTAATCCCAACTACTCGGGAGGCCGAGGCAGGAGAATCGCTTGAACCCAGGAAGGGGAGATTGCAGTGAGCAGAGATCGCACCCACTGCACTCCACCCTGGGCAACAAGAGCAAAAGTTCATCTCAAAAAAAAAAAAAGAGTAGAGAGAATAACTGAAGTACTAAATATTATTACCCAAAATCATACTTACCCAAGTGTATATATCCAAAAGTGTATGTCATTTCATTTAACACACAAAATTGTCGTGGATGCTTCAACGTTAGAAATCCTGGCCAGGCGCAGTGGGGGAGGCCACTATGGGAGGCCAAGGCAGGTGGATCACCTGAGGTAAGGAGTTCCAGACCAGACTGGCCAACATGGGAAAACCCCATCTCTACTAAAAATACAAAAAATTAGCTGGACAGGGTGCTGGTGGTGCCTGCTTGTAATCCCAGCTACTCAGGAGGTAGAGACAGGAGAATCACTTGAACCCGGGAGGCAGAGGTTGCAGTGAGCCAAGATCATGCCGCTGCACTCCAGCTTGGGTGACAGAGCAAGACTTCATCTCAAAAAAAGAAAAAAGTCCTAGTGGTGCCTTATTACTGTCTGCTATAAAGTATCCTTCTGGATGGGATAAAACACAGTATCGGTAGAAAGAATGAATCATTCACACTTTGGAAAATTTAAACTTTATTGTTCCAAACCTAAGAACTATGGACACTAAATCAAACAGTTGCAAATTATGCTAGCAGTTAAATGTGAATCCTACTCAAGAACATGTTACATTGGTATTTTGTTGGGCAGGTGGTGGGGGCAGAGTTTCACTCTTGTTGCCCAGGCTGGAGTGCAATGGCATGATCTTGGTTCACTATAACCTCCACCTCTTGGGTTCAAGTGATTCTCCTGCCTCAGCCTCCCAAGTAGCTGGAATTACAGATGACCACCACCAGGCCCAGCTGATTTTTTTGTATTTTTAGTAGACATGGGGTTTTACTATGTTGGCCAGGCTGGTCTTGAACTCTTGACCTCCGGCAATCCACCCACCTCGGCCTCCCAAAGTGCTGGGATTACAAGGTGTGAGCCACTGCGCCCAGCCACATTGGTAGTTTTGATTAAACTCTCTACTCTTGATATAACTGTTCTTTCTTGCATTTCAAAAATTAGAGTACTTATTTTAATCAGTCTTTGTTAACAGCTATTGCTATTCAATGGAGAAGGCGGCCACCCATTTCCCCTGCATCATCTCTACTACATAATCAGCCCCTAATGACCTCTCTTCGAATAAAAATCCCAGTGTCCTAAGGTCATGGTGTGCTCTATTTCATATCTGTTGTAGCGCACAGCACTGTGCCTGTCAGGAAAATAGTGTGCTAACTGTAATAAACATGACCACTGCCTTCATGGCTTTGTTATTCTCTATCCACCTCCATGGTCTCTGCAGCAGACAATATTTAATCTGAAAAGGCAGTGTCCTTATTCTTTCAGGAAATCGGATAGAACCCTCCTCAGTTAATTAAGTCAGCCCTGTCATCTTACCGATTCTTTCCCAGAGACCACAGTGGAAGGCCTGTAGGAAAGGCACATGAAGAGATTCAAAGTTCAGGATGAAAGTCATAAAAAGCAGCGTTTTTTCTTTTGTTACAGGGTCTCACTCTGTCATCCAGGCTGAAGTACAGTGGTAAGATCATAGCTCATTACTCAAACTCTGAAACTCCTGGGCTTGAACAATCCTCTTGCCTTGGCCTCTGGAGTAGCCGGAACTACAGACACGTGTCAAGGGCCCGCCTTACTTTTTCGTGTTGTAGAGATGGCCCTTGCTGTGCTGCCCATGCTGATCTTGATCTCCTGGACTCAAGTGATCCTACTGTCTTGGCTTTCTATTGTGCTGAGATTACAGGCATGAACCACTGCACCTGGCCTTTCAAACAAAACCCAAATAATTACATTTTTAATAACCTGAACATAAGAGACCATTTCCACGTGTCCTGGCACCCTTTACACACATCATATCATTAGGTTCAACATATTTTGTCTTGTTAGCCTTGGTGCACACAATCCATTTGTGTGTTTCATCAAAGACGTATGTTCTGATGTCTAGTGATTTAGTATGTCTTGATACAGCCTGTGCTGTATCTATATTTAAATTTCTTTCTTTCTAGTGTGGACTTTCTGATGTTGATTAATGCTAGAACGTATAATAGAGTTTGCCATACTCAGTTTGTAAGGACTCGCTCATAAATGAATTCTCTGATGCTGTGCAAGCCATGAACTGTGTCTAAAGACCTTTCCACACACATGACATTTGTAAGGCTTCTCTCCAGTATGGATTCTGTGATGATTTGCAAGGTGTGAATTCTGAGTGAAGACTTTGCCACACTCATTACATTTGTAAGGTTTCTCTCCAGTATGAATTTTCTGATGTCGTGCAAGGTGTGAAACCTGAGTGAAGACTTTGCCACATTCATTACATTTATAAGGTCTCTCTCCATTGTGATGTCTCTGATGAACTGTGAGGGAAAACTTATGCCTAAAGGCCTTGTCACATTCTTTACATTTGTAAGGTTTCTCTCCAGTATGGATTAACAGATGGGTGGTGAGGCTTGAATGCACACTAAATTCTTTGCCACATTTATTACATTTGTAAAGTTTCTCTCCTGTATGAATTCTCCAATGCTGTGCTAGGTATGAACTACTACTATAAACCTTGCCACATTCGTTACATTTATGAGGTTTCTCTCCAGTATGAATTTTCTGATGTCGTACAAGGTATGTAATTCGACTGAAAACCTTGCCACATTCATTACATTTGTGAGGATTCTCTCCAGTATGGACTTTCTCATGTCGGACAAGGTAGGCAATTCGATTGAAGAGCTTGCCACATTCTTTACACTTGTAAGGCTTCTCTCCCGTATGGATTCTCCAATGTTCTGCAAGGTATGACTTGTTCCTGAAGACTTTACCACATTCATGACACCTGTTAGGTTTATCTGCAGCGTGGATTACTTGAGGATTAGGAAAGCTTGAAGACACTCTCAAGACTTTGCTCTGCTCTTTACATGTGTAAGGTTTGCTCCTAATGTGTGCTTTCTGTTCCGGTGAGAGTAATGGAAAATCAACAAAATCGTTCCTACGTTTATTAAAAACGCACGCTTTGACACCATAAGAAATGTTTCGAAGTGACGAAACTGAAGAACTGTGGCTGAACTTTTGAACTTGACTACATTCGTAAAATTTCCCTTCACCTTGAAATATCTCCAATTCCGGCAAAGGTAACTGAAAGGTTAATCCAAGTGGATTTGTAACATGGTTGTTTCCTGTTTTGCTACTCACTGCACACCTCCTCCCTAGGAAAGCAAGAAAAGTCTAATTTCAACCCATGGTTCTGGCATGTTTAGACCTTGACAGACGAATCTGCCTCATGGGACTCAGATATTAGAAGAAATATCAGCATACTTCATATATCACACTGGCAGTGCAGAAAACCCGAAAGGTGGGGTGATGCACTGGAGCAGTGGGGCATCTGCAGGAGTCAGAGGGATTATGGGTGAATTTGAGAGAGATTATGAGCAGAGAGACACAACAGAAATTGAAAGCTTCTAAGAAAAAGTAGGATGAGCCGGGCGCGGTGGCTCAAGCCTGTAATCCCAGCACTTTGGGAGGCCGAGGCGGGTGGATCACGAGGTCAAGAGATCGAGACCATCCTGGTCAACATGGTGAAACCTCGTCTCTACTAAAAATACAAAAAAATTAGCTGGGCATGGTGGCGCGTGCCTGTAATCCCAGCTACTCAGGAGGCTGAGGCAGGAGAATTGCCTGAACCCAGGAGGCGGAGGTTGCGGTGAGCCGAGATTGCGCCATTGCACTCCAGCCTGGGTGACAAGAGCGAAACTCTGTGTGAAAAAAGAAAAAAAAAAAAAAAAAAAAAAAGTAGGATGAGCCTCTTAGGGGAAAAGAGACACTTAACAGCAGTTGCATGGGCTGGACACAGTGGCTGTAATTCCAGCACTGTGGGAGGCTGAGGAGGGCAGATCACTTGAGGTCAGGAGTTCGAGACCAGCTTGGCCAACATGGTGAAATCCCATCTCGACCTAAAAATACAAAAATCAGCTGGGCATGGTGGTGGGCGCCTATAATCCCAGTTACTCAGGAGGCTGAGGCAGAAGAATCACTTGAACCAGGGAGGCAGAGGTTGCAGTGAGCTGAGACCACACCACTGTATTCCAGCCTGAGTGAGACTGAGACACCATCTCAAAAAAAAAAAAAAAAAAAGGCCGGGCAAGGTGGCTCATGCCTGTAATCCCAACACTTTGAGAGGATGAGGCGGGCAAATCACAAGGTTAAAAGTTCAAGACCAGCCTGACGATCCTGGTGAAACCCATCTCTACTAAAAATACAGAAAAAAAATTAGCTGGGCATGGTGGTTTCACTCCTGTAATCTCAGCTACTCAGGAGGCTGAGGCAGAAGAATCATTTGAACCCAGGAGGCGGAGGCTGCAGTGAGCCAAGATAGTGCCACTGCACTCCAGCCTGGGGGACAGAGTGAGACTCCATCTCGAAAAAAATTTAAAAATATAATAAATAAAGATAAATAAAAGGAAAATTAGAAAATATCTTGATACAAACGAAAATGTACATATAACACAGCAGAACTCAGGAAATGCAATAAAAATGGTGCTAGAAGAGATACTGTAATAATGTATGCATACATGAAAAATAAGCAAATGCCTGGGTGTGGTTGCTCACATCTGTAATCCCAGCAGTTTGGGATGCTGAAGTGGATCTCCTGAAGCCAGGAGTTGCAGACCAGCTTAGGCAACAAAGTCAGACCCCCTATCTCTAAAAAAAATTAATAGGCCAGGCATGGTGGCTCACGCCTGTAATCCTGGCAGCTTGGAGGCCAAGGCGAGCAGACTACAAGGTCAGCTTGGCCAACATGGTGAAACCCCTTCTATACTAAAATACAAAAAAATAGCCAGGCATGGTGGCATGCACCTGTAGTCCCAGCTACTTGGGAGGTCGAGACAGGGGAATCACTTGAACCTGGGAGGTGGAGGTTGCAGTGAGCCGAGATCCTGCCACTACACTCTAGCCTGGTGACAGAGCAAGACTTCGTCTCAAATTAAAATACATAAAAACAAATTAATTAATTAAATTATTGTTTCAATTAGTGAGGCACAGTGTTGTGTGCCTATAGTCCTGCTACTTGGGAGGCTAAGGTGAGACTGTCACTGGATCCCAGGATCTATGATCATGCCCCTGCACTCCAGCCTGGGTGACACAGTGAGACCCTATCTCTTAAAAAATAAATAACTATGCCGGGCACGGTGGCTCACACCTGTAATCCTGGCACTTTGGGAGGCCAAGGCGGGCAGATCACAAGCTCAAGAGATGGAGACCATCGTGGCCAACATGGTGAAACTCCATCTCTACTAAAAATACAAAAATTAGCTGGACGTGGTGGTGGGCACCTATAGTCCTAGCTACTTGGGAGGCTGAGGCAGAAGAATTGCTTGAACCCAGGAGGCAGAGGCTGCCGTGAGCTAAGAAGGTGCCACTGCACTCTAGCCTGGAGACAGAGTGAGATGCTGCCTCCGAAAAAATATATAAATAAATAAATAGCTAGAATAAAATAGCATATAAACAACCTAACTTTCTACCTCCACAAAGTAAAGAAAAAAATAAACACAAAGATAGCAGAAGGAAAAAAAAGATTAGAAAACAAAGAACACAGCAGAAAAGCACTAGAGAAAGTCATGAAGCTAAGAGTTCACACTTCGAATAAGACTGACAAACCCTTACTTAGAGTAGAAGAAAGAAACACGAAGTGTGTATGTGTGAAGTAACTAAAATTAGAAATGTAAAAGAGGACATTACAAACAAGTCTATACAAATAAACTGGAAGTTAAATGACACTCAAGAACTGTGTAACCAAAAATATGATGACCAAGAAGAAAAGAATTGTAAGCCAGGCGTGGTGGCTCATGCCTATAATCCCAGCACTTTGGGAGACTGAGGCAGGCAGATCACCTGAAATTAAGAGTTCAAGACCAGCCTGGCCAATACGGTGAAACCTCGTCTCTACTAAAAATACAAAAATCAGCCAGGCGTGCTGGTGGGTGCCTGTAATCCCAGCTACTCAGGAGACTGAGGCAGGAGAATCGCTTGAACCTGGGAGGTGGAGGTGGTAGTCAGCCAAGATCACACCACTGCACTCCAGCCCAGGTGACTCCATTTCCAAAAAAGCAAGACTCCATTTCCAAAAAAAAAAAAAAAAAAAGGCCAGGCACGGTGGTTCACGCCTATAATCCCAGCACTTTGGGAGGCCGAGGTGGGCGGATCATGAGGTCGAGAGATCGAGACCATCCTCATCAACATAGCGAAACTCTGTCTCTACTAAAATATTTTTAAAAATTAGCTGGGCGTGGTGGCGTGCGTCTGTAGTCCCAGCTACTTGGGAGGCTGAGGCAGGAGAATTGCTTGATCCTGGGAGATGGAGGTTGCAGTGAGCTGAGATCATGCCACTGCACTCCAGCCTGGCGCCTGGCGACAAAGCGAGACTCTGTCTTAAAAAAAAAAAAAAAAAAAAAATCAAAAAACACGGCTTCCACTCTGTCCATCTGAGCTCTTACCTGTGTTGGTATCTTTGATACCTTCCCATCTACCCGGATTTTTTGCTACTTTCATTTCACCCTCCACAGTCCACGGCTCTGTCCTTTGCTTCATCATGGAGATAATACTCAGGTCAGGAAGACAGATTCCTGTTTATAAAAGAAAGAATCAAGATGTGTTGTGATGTCTCCAAAATCCAAGCTTTATGTTTAGGCAGAAGAGATTATATTAAAAATTAATCCTTTTATGCCAGTTAGAATGGTGATCATTAAAATGTCAGGAACCAAAAGATGCTGGAGAACATGTGGAGAAACAGGAGTGCTTTTACACTGTTGGTGGGAGTGTAAATTAGTTCAATCATTGTCGAAGACAACGTGGTAATTTCTCAAGGATCTAGAACCAGGAAATACCACTTGACCCAGCAATCCGATGACCAGGTATATGCCCAAGAGATTGTAAATCATTCTGCTATAAAGAAAAAAACTGTTAAATCAAGAATTCAAGAATAACATTTCACAAATCCACCCACAGACTATCTCCTTCTGAATGCTTAGGGAACACTGTAATAACTGGACATTGAACTCTCTTCCAAAAACTACAGCATCAAAAGCACAGGGGAGGCCGGGCGCGGTGGCTCAAGCCTGTAATCCCAGCACTTTGGGAGGCCGAGGCGGGTGGATCACGAAGTCAAGAGATCGAGAACATCCTGGTCCACATGGTGAAACTCCGTCTCTACTAAAAATTCAAAAAATTAGCTGGGCGTGGTGGCGTGTGCCTGTAATCCCAGCTACTCAGGAGGCTGAGGCAGGAGAATTGCCTGAACCCAGGAGGCGGAGGCTGTGGTGAGCTGAGATCGCACCATTGCACTCCAGCCTGGGTAACAAGAGCAAAACTCCGTCTCAAAAAAAAAAGCACGGGGTAGAAAACAGGGAACTGGCTGGGTCCAGTGGCTCAAGCCTATAATCTCAACACTTTGGGAGGCCAAGGCAGGCGGATCATGAGGTCAGGAGTTCAAGACCTGCCTGGCCAACATGGTGAAACCCGGACTTTACTAAAAATATAAAATTTATCCATGTGTGGTGGTGTGCACCTGTAATCCCACCTACTTAGAACACTGAGGTAGGAGAATTGCTTGAACCTAGGAGGCAGAGGTTGCAGTGAGCAGAGATCATGCCACTGCACTCCAGACTGGGGACCAGAGCAAGACTCCATCTCAAAAAAATTGAAAAAAAAAAAAAGGAACAGGGAAACGGATATTTTAAAAGTTTGTCACGGCCGGGCGCGGTGGCTCATGCCTGTAATCCTAGCACTTTGGGAGGCCGAGGTGGGTGGATCATCTGAGGTCAGGAGTTCAAGATCAGCCTGGCCATCATGGTGAAACCCTATCTTAAAAAAAAAAAAAAAAAAGCCGGGCACGGTGGCTCAAGCCTGTAATCCCAGCACTTTGGGAGGCTCAGGCGGGTGGATCACGAGGTCAAGAGATCGAGACCATCCTGGTCAACCTGGTGAAACCCTGTCTCTACTAAAAATACAAAAAATTAGCTGGGCATGGTGGCGCGTGCCTATAATCCCAGCTACTCAGGAGGCTGAGGCAGGAGAATTGCCTGAACCCAGGAGGCAGAGGTTGCGGTGAGCCGAGATCACGCCACGGCACTCCAGCCTGGGTAACAAGAGCGAAACAACATCTCAAAAAAAAAAAAAAAAAAAAAAAAGTTTGTCATAATGTTTTATGGCACACTTAAGACCAGGTACCACCCAAAGGTGTATCATGAAGGAGACAGAATATCTGAAGAAAGGGGGCATTTCAAATCCAGAAAGCATACTGGAGCTTTTCATTTCTGAGTCAACATTTCTTTTTCTTTTTTTGAGACAGAGTCTTGCTCTGTTACCCAGGCTGGAGTGCAGTGGCGTGATCTCAGCTCACTGCAACCTCTGCCTCTGGGTTCAAGTGATTCTCTTGCCTCAGCCTCCCGAGTAGCTGAGATTAAGGCATGTGTCACCACGCCTGGCTGATTTTTGTATTTTTAGTAGAGATAGGGTTTTACCATGTTAGTTAGGCTGTTCTTGAACTTCTGACCAAGCAATCCACCCACTTCAGCCTCTCAGAGTGCTAGGATTACAGGCGTGAGCCACCATGCCTGGCCAAGTCATCAGGGTTTCAATTTCAGTCACGCAATGCAGGGGCTCCCAAGAAGGATACAAGGGAAAATGCAGAGATACCAAGGGCAGGTCCCAACTTCTGAAGGGACATTATCCTCACCCAGGGAGACCAGGTTCCTGTAGTTCTCCAGCATCACGTCCCTGTATAAAGTCCTCTGAGCAGGGTCCAGGCATCTCCACTCCTCCTGAGAGAATTCTATGGCCACATCCTTGAATGTCAAGGGTCCCTAAAATAAAAGATGCATTTCACCAACAGGGTATACAGAGAGTACTTATGTTCACATAAAATGAGAAGAGAATTGGCTGGGCGCGGTGGCTCATGCCTGTAATCCCAGCACATTGGGAAGCTGAGGCGGGTGGATCACAAGTCAGGGGTTTGAGACCAGCCTGGACAAGATGTTGAAACCCCATCTCTACTAAAAATACAAAAATGAGCTGGGTGCGGTGGCACGCGCCTGTAACCCTAGCTACGCAGGAGGCTGAGGCAAGAGAATCGCTTTAACCTGGGAGGCGTAGCTTGCAGTGAGCTAAGATCGTGCTATTTCTCCAGCCTGGGTGACAGAGACTCTGTCTAGAAAAAAAAAAAAAAAAATGAGAAGAGAATTGTAAAGATTGACTCAACTGACATGCTGAAGTGAACATTCTCATAAATCCACATTAAGGTATTTTTGAGCTAGTTATGTGTCTGTGTGTTTTATTATACTTTTCCATAAAAAGTTATGATATTCTCTAAACCAGTGCACATTTTTCATTCAATATCTACCTGAGCTAGAATACAAGTCTCTCTGAAGACACCAACTACTTGAATTCTAGCTCAGGTAGATACCGGGTATCACTTGGTGTGTCAAACATAAATACCTAACACTTCTATAGAGATAACTGTGGGTTTATTTTGTGTCTGGACATTAGAATCAAACCTAAAGAATCAAACAGTTAAGTAACACATCAGCATCAAAAGTAAACTGACAGATTACCTAACAAGTTCAAAGACAAAAACCTGGATCTGCATAAACAATCATTATATATGCATACACACATATCCTAATGCATTACTATTCTTTTTTTTTTTTTTTTTTTTTTGAGACAGAGTTTCACTCTTGTTACCCAGGCTGGAGTGCAATGGTGCTACCTCGGCTCACCGCAACCTCCGCCTCCTGGGTTCAGGCAATTCTCCTGCCTCAGCCTCCAGAGTAGCTGGGACTACTGGCGTGCGCCACCATGCCCAGCTAGTTTTTGTATTTTTAGTAGAAACGGGGTTTCACCATGTTGACCAGGATGGTCTCGATCTCTTGACCTCGTGATCCACCTGCTTCGGCCTCCCAAAGTTTTTTTTTTTTTTTTTTTTTTAACATCTCCTTTAAATTGTTTTAATACTATTCTTTTTTTTATTTTGAGACAGAGTCTCACTCTGTTGCCAAGGCTGGAGTACAATGGTGCGATCTCGGGTTATTGCAACCTCAACCTCACAGGTTTAAGCAATTATCCTGCCTCAGCCACCTGAGTTGCTGGGATTGCAGGCGCACACCACCACAGTCAGCTGATTTTTGTATTTTTGGTAGAGATGGGGTTTCACCACATTGGTCAGGTTGGTCTTGAACTCCTGACCTCGTGTTCTGCCCACCTCAGCCTCCCAAAGTGCTGGGATTACATTATGTGAGCCACTGCGCCCAACCAATACATTACTATTCTTACTGCCACCGACTCATTAACATGATAGTGTACAACAATTTTAAGGTCATGGAAAATATTTCAGATGTAATTTCAACTGTTCAAAAATACATAACACATAACATGTACACACTTACATATACTTAGAAGCTTATAAAATAATACACATACACGCTTCTACACATCTACTGAATAAGGAGTCGTCTCTCAATGACCTATTTTTTAGATGGTATCTGTCATCCTTTTTAAAAACCATTCTTAGAGACAGAGTCTTGCTGTGTTGTCCAGTTTGGAGTGCAGTGGGTAATCATAGCCACCACGCCCAGCCAGTTTCCTGCTCTCTTGCTTCTTCTTCAGCCACGCATTCCCGTATCTGTTCCAATGACTCCTTATTAACCGATTCATTCCTCAAGAACCACCTCTAAGAGATTCTCAGTGTCGGGCTGGGCGCGGTGGCTCAAGCCTGTAATCCCAGCACTTTGGGAGGCCGAGGCGGGTGGATCACGAGGTCGAGAGATCAAGACCATCCTGGTCAACATGGTGAAACCTCGTCTCCACTAAAAATACAAAAAATTAGCTGGGCATGGTGGCACGTGCCTGTAATCCCAGCTACTCAGGAGGCTGAGGCAGGAGAATTGCCTGAACCCAGGAGGCGGAGGCTGCGGTGAGCCGAGATCGCGCCACTGCACTCCAGCCTGGGTAACAAGAGCGAAACTCCGTCTCAAAAAAAAAAAAAAAAAGAAAAAAAAAGAAAAAGAGATTCTCAGCGTCATCCTCCTCCATATCCAGATAAAACCTGTGGTAATGCACTAGGTTTCTTTCTGCCAGCATCACTGTAAACACAAGGAATGCACTGGACTATGATGTCATGACTGCTCCAAGGTAGCTAGGCAACCAGAATTTTTCAGCTCCAGTGTAATCTTATGGAACCACCATCATAGGCATGGTCTGTTGCTGACTGAAATATCCTTAAGTGGTGCGTGACTGTATTATGCATTTTTTTTTTTTTTTTTTTTTTTTTGAGATGGAGTCTTGCCTTGTTGCCCAGGTTGGAGTGCAACGGTGAGATCTCAGCTCACTGCAACCTCTGCCTCCCGGGTTCAAATGATTCTCCTCCCTTAGCCTCCCGAGTGGCTGGGATTACAGGTACTCACCACCACGCTCAGCTAATTTTTGCATTTTTAGTATCAATTGTGTTTCACCATGTTGGCTAGGCTGGTCTTGAACTCCTGACCTTTTGATCCGCCCACCTCAGCCTCCCAAAGTTCTGGGATTACAGGCGTGAGCCACCTAGCCCTGCCTGTATTATGTAAAAAAAAAAAAAAAAGGAATTTGAAGACCATCTGACGTGAGTAGCCTCTGGGGGGGGTTCTTGGAAGCAAATCAAAGAACCAAGCAAAACCAAATTATGTGATATGGAGGGATGACTGTAGAGGATGGATACACTGGACAAAGAGATGATTCAAGTCCTGGGCAAAACAAATGGGACAGTGAGAGATTGTATCATCCGAGTCAGAAGCGTAAGAAATTTGAAACTTGTGAATTCTTCATTTCTGGAACTTTCCAGGTAACATTCTTGGACTGTGGTTAACCAACAGTAACTGGAACCTAAAAAGTACACTGGCAGATAAGGAGTAATTACCATAGAATCAACTTCAAATATTAAGGCTGGGCCCAACCTGAGTATGTGATTGGGAAACTTGGGTAAGAGGATGGGGGTGCCGGGCGCGGTGGCTCAAGCCTGTAATCCCAGCACTTTGGGAGGCCGAGGCGGGTGGATCACAAGGTCAAGAGATGGAGACCATCCTGGTCAACATGGTGAAACCCCGTCTCTACTAAAAATACAAAAAATTAGCTGGGCATGGTGGCGCGTGCCTGTAATCCCAGCTGCTCAGGAGGCTGAGGCAGGAGAATTGCCTGAACCCAGGAGTTGGAGGTTGCAGTGAGCCGAGATCGCGCCATTGCACTCCAGCCTGGGTAACAAGAGGAAAACTCCGTTAAAAAAAAAAAGAGGATGGGGGCACAAAGATGCGTATCTGCACTCCAATGTGAAGCCAGGGGTGAGCTCCACTCACACAGGGCAAGCCCAGCACACCCCCACCTCTGGCTCTGCTCTCCCCTTGGGGCCTTGTCACCAGGATCCAGGCTGTGGACAGCAAAAGAGCACAAAGAATCATCTAGAGCAGCCAACGTGGACCACAGTGGGGGTGAGGGTGTAGTGGAGTGTTACATGTAGGGTGGAGAGGAACACAGAAGCCTCCATGAAGCAGGTGACATCAGAACAAAGACCTGAGGAAGAAAAGGTATTTGTGCGTGCAGCTGATGGGCCAGAGAGGTCTAGGCAGAGGGACAGCCCATGTGGAAACCCTGAGGCAGGAGCAACGTTGGCCCCAGGCAAGAGTCTTGTGTGGCTGCAGCAGAGGGAAAGAGGAAGATGAGGTCAGAACAGTCCTGGGGGAGCAGATCACACAGGGATGGGGTGACCAACATTTCTCTCCCATAACTTAAAGGAATTTCAGAAACAACAATTTTCCTCACCTGTTTTAAGTAAATATGTAATTATTTATGTTATAAATTAATGTACTTTCAGGCTGGGTGCGGTGGCTCACACCTGTAATCCCAGCACTCTGGGAGGCCCAGGTGGGAGGATCACAAGGTCAAGAGATCAAGACTATCATGGCCAACATGGTGAAACCCTGTCTCTAGTAAAAATACAAAAAATTAGCTGGGCGTGGTGACGTGCACCTGTAGTCCCAGCTACTCAGGAGGCTGAGGCGGGAGAATAGCTTAAACCTGGGAAACAGAGGTTGCTGTGAGCCGAGATTGCACCACTGCATTCCAGCCTGGCGTTAAAGCGAGACTCTGTCACAAAAAAGAAAAAAAAAATTAATGTATTTGTAATATAACATTTTACATATTTTGATTACATGACAATTATTTCAGCTAAGCCTCAGAAAGTACAGGGTCACCCTCATCTAAGATATGCAGGACTGCAGGGGCACGCATTTGGGGGAGTTCAGAAAGTGGCACATATGAAGGGGGAGATGCCTGATAGACGTCCCAGCAGAGAAGTGAGAGGACGATAGAACACAGGTTTCTAGACCTCAGGGCAGAAGTCTGCAGGGGACACGAAGACATGTAGGTAGGGTTCAAAGCTATGAGATAAGATGACAAGGAAGGGTCATGTGTGTGGACTGAGATGAGAAGGGTTTTGAGATCTAAGCCTATTCAATATAGGAAAACTAAGTCTGTACCAAAATATCAAAAAATTACTCGGGTGTGGTGGTGTGCACTTATAGTCCCAGCTGCTTGGGAGGCTGAGGCAGGAGTTCAAGGAGTTCAAGGCTGCAGGGAGCTATGATTGCATCACTGCACTCCAATCTGGGTCACAGAGTGAGACTGTGTCTCAAAACAAAAACAAAAAAGACCTAAATCATGGGACACTCCCACATTCAGAGAAGACAGGTTCAAGAGACACCAGCAGAGGAAACTGGTAAGACAAAAACCTGAAACGAAGTAATTAGAAAAATTTAGAGATGTCTTCAAAGCTAAGAAAAAAGGACAGGGAATGATCATGTTGCTAACAGGAAAATATAAGGATACAAAATTCAAAATTGGATTTCCAAACAGAGGTCACTGGTGACTCTGGAAAAAAAGGACCAAAGGAATGGTGGAGGTGAAAACTTAATTGGAAGGGGTAAATCAAGAACTGGAGGCAAGACTGAAGACAGAATATAAACAAGATTTTAGTACACTGTGTTCTCAAATGGAGCATAAAAGAGGGGTACTTATTACAAGGAGAAATGTAATTAATAGAATTTTTTTTTTTTTTGAGGCGGAGTTTCGCTCTTGTTACCCAGGCTTGAGTGCAATGGCGCGATCTCGGCTCACCGCAACCTCCGCCTCCTGGGTTCAGGCGATTCTCCTGCCTCAGCCTCCTGAGTAGCTGGGATTATAGGCACGCACCACCATGCCCAGCTAGTTTTTTTTGTATTTTTAGTAGAGACGGGGTTTCACCATGTTGACCAGGATGGTCTCGATCTCTTGACCTCGTGATCCGCCCGCCTCGGCCTCCCAAAGTGCTGGGATTACAGGCTTGAGCCACCGCGCCCGGCCAGAATTTTTTTGTTGTTGTTTTAATCATGGAGGAGTGACAAGAAAATAAAGACTTCATTGTGTATCTGTTTTTTCTTTCTTTTTTTTTTTTTTGAGAGAGAGTCTTGCTCTTGTCATCCAGGCAGGAGTGTAGTGGTGTGATCTCAGCTCACTGCAACCTCCACGTCCTAGGTTCAAGCGATTCTCCTGCTTCAGCCTCCCGAGTAGCTGGATTACAGGTATGTGTCACCACACCAGGCTAATTATTGTATTTTTAGTAGCGACAGCGTTTCACCGTGTTGGCCAGGCCTCTGTGTCACCACACCAGGCTCTCCTTGTCATGACTTACCACTCCTGACCATAAGTGATCTGCCCACCTTGGCCTCCCAGAGTGCTGGGATTATAGGCGTGAGCCACCGCGCCTGGTCAATGTGTCTGTGTGTCTTCTAATGGACAATACCTCCTTCTGAGTACACTGATCAAAGTAATCCCTTGAGGTAAATATTGGTGATGCCACAGAGGAAGGATGCCACACTGTCCTGAGACTGTGAGTAGGGCTGGCACATGGTGTACAATCACAGGGTCATCAACAGCCAGGGGGAGGAACAGATCATTCCCAGTTACTACTGAGTAGAGATTACAGACCCTGGGACAAGTAGGTAGGCCGACTGGAGATCTCTTCCCCTTACTGTTTGAGACGGAAATGTGCATGTTTTTTTTTTTTTTTCCCATACCGACCAGTTCTCTGGCACACTCCCAATTTTGATACTCTCTACCTGGAGATAGAATCAGATCTCCTAAGTTAAGGACTCAGTCCCACAAGAGCGTCCCTCACTTCAGATGTGGAATAAAATTCATGGTTTCTAAAACGCACTCCTGTTTTGATTTGCTAGGAAGGTTCTTCCATCTGTATCCTATCCTTTTTTTTTTTTCTTTTTTTTTGAGACGGAGTTTCGCTCTTGTTACCCAGGCTGGAGTGCAATGGCGCGATCTCGGCTCACCGCAACCTCCGCCTCCTGGGCTCAGGCAATTCTCCTGCCTCAGCCTCCTGAGTAGCTGGGATTATAGGCCCGCACCACCATGCCCAGCTAACTTTTTTTATTTTTAGTAGAGACGGGGTTTCACCTTGTTGACCAGGATGGTCTCGATCACTCGACCTCGTGATCCACCCGACTCGGCCTCCCAAAGTGCTGGGATTACAGGCTTGAGCCACCGCGCCCGGCTGTATCCTATCCTTTGTAATAACCTTTATAACTGATAATAAATCTAAGTAAAATTTTCTGAGTTCTGTGAACCATTCTAGCAAATTAATAAAATGTGAGGAGGCTGGGCAAGGTGGCTCAAGCCTGTAATCCCAGCACTTTGGGAAGCCTAGGTGGGCAGATCGCCTAAGGTCTCAGGAGTTCAAGATCAGCCTGGCCAACATGGTGAAACCCCGCCTCTACTAAAAATACAAAATTTGCCAGGCATGGTGGCAAGGGCCTGTAATCCCAGCTATGTGCGAGGCTGAGACAGGAGAATTGCTTGAACCCAGGTTGCCGTGACCCGAGATTTTGAGCCCCTCTCCTCTCCTGCAGTTTATCCCCTTCTTCCCTCTATTCCTTCTTTTCCACCTGATCTGTTCCATTTTGCAATGTTTTTCCTCTTGTTGCTCTTTCTCTACAATCTTTTGATTGTCTGCAATCTACATATATTTCTGCCTCTTCTCGCATCTCTGCCCCTCCTGTTAAATTCCCTCTTCTCTGTTACGTCCCCCTAGTCCCCACTGTTTGGCAACCCGATCCCTGAGGTGGTTCTCCCTCTGCTCTCCTGCCCCCGGCTACCCCCTGTTGCTGTCCCAGCATCACTCTGCTCTGTCTGCCCTGGCTCCAAATCCCTCCTCCTCTCCCCAGCTCTGTCTGAGGAGCCTCCTGCTTTGCTGCCCCTCTCCCTATCTTGCTGTCCTTCATCTTTCTGGAAATAGAACTTCACTCTACATTTCTCCTATTGCGTTTCTCTCCCTGCTACTCCCTGGGGTGTTTATTTCACTTTGCAAATCTCTCACCCTCCCTCGACGTTGCCGTCTTGCTACGGATCTCCCTCATTATTTTTTCTCTAAATTTTTCTATTTTCTCTAACCCACTCTCAACCTCTTTTTCACTGCACAGTCACAGCAAGAGGACTGGAATAAAATGCCCACTTCCTCAATTCCAGTGGGAGGCATTTGGGACAGAAGAACACTGGGTGCCCTAAGGCAAGTTCCGGGCACCTCCGGCAACGCAGGATCAGGACAGGCCGTGGCTGCAAAGAGGCCTGGGGACAGAAGGGCCCACCGCAAGGAGGACTAGGGTGGGAGGCAGATCAGGGATGGGGTCTGCAGAATCTCCAGGCCAGGCAAGGACCCGGCCCTTCCTGAATTACTGCTGCAGCGCTGCGCCCCGGGAGCCGACACTGGCGAGGACCGGGACCCGGAGGGTGTGGATCCGCCTCGCAAGTGGAGATTTGACGTGACGCGGGGCTAGCGGAGCGGTCACTGACGGGTTTTAAACAGAAAAACGGCGCGAGAGCAGCTGCCTAAACGGCCCTATGGCAGGCAAAACGACCCGGGACAGAATCAGCCCCAGCGCGATTTTAGCACACAAGGAAGCGACTCCCGGTATTCCGATGGGAGGTGTGAATTTACTCAGGGTGGTGGGAGCGGTAGGAGGATTTCAAGATCTGTAACGCCCCTCACATCCCGGGTACAGAAAGGTGAGGACACCGCAAAGCAAACACTTAATCTAAACAAAGGGAAACTCACACGCCGCAGTTGCGCCATCTCTCCACGAGATCCACTTCCGGGTCTGCAGGAAACTGCGCGCGCAGCGGAGAGGCCAGGCCTGGGCGGGGCCTGGACGCGGATGGGCGGGGCCCGTGCGTCCCTCCTCCTATCTCTGGGCGTGTCTCGGTTTTCTGGATACTAGCAGTGGGTAGGCGAAGAGCCACTCCACCGTTAGTGACCTGGGATCTCACTAGGAGGGTCGTCATCGGAGGTTTGGATTCAGGAAAGTTCCCACAATTAAAATTAAGGAATTCAATTAAAATTTAGAAATTTAATTGAAAAGCCCTGAAATTGTCTGTGAAAGGAATACAAACTAAAATACAATATGCAAACTCTTGTCTGAGCTGAATGTGTAATTTCATGCTGACGCCCCACAGAATAGAATAGAAATCCTTTTTCTTTCTTTCTTTCTTTATTTTTTTTGAGGTAGAGTCTCGCTCTGTGGCCCAGGCTGGAGTGCAGAGGCGCCATCTCAGCTCACTGAAACCTCTGTCTCCCGGGTTCCAGCGATTCTCCTGCCTCAGCCTCCCCAGTAGCTGGGACTCCTGTTGCGTGCCACCACATCGGGCTAATTTTTTCTATTAAATTAGAGATGGGGTTTCACCGTGTTAGCCAGGATACTCTGCATCTCCTGACCTCGCAATCCGCCCGCCTTCTCCTCCCAAAGTGCTGGGATTACAGGCATGAACCATCGCGCCCAGACTAAGTGAATTTCATCTTAGATAATTTTTCCTGTAGGATTATATGGTAATCAGTGTATCTGCAGTTCATTTTAGTACTATTTCATAGGTAATATCAGCCTGTGCAATAAAACTATAGACATAAATTTACCACAATCCCAATCTTCATATATCCTCATGATATATGAAGATAAAACCTTTTTTTTTTTTTTTGACGGAGTTTCGCTCTTGTTACCCAGGCTGGAATGCAATGGCACGATCTCGACTCACCGCAACCTCCGCCTCCTGGGTTCAGGCAATTCTCCTGCCTCAGCTTCCTGAGTAGCTGGGATTACAGGCACGCGCCACCATGCCCAGCTAATTTTTTGTATTTTTAATAGAGACGGGGTTTCACCATGTTGACCAGGATGGTCTCGATCTCTCGACCTCGTGATCCACCCGCCTCGGCCTCCCAAAGTGCTGGGATTACAGGCTTGAGCCACCACGCCCAGCTTGAAGATAAACCATTTTGAAATGACAAGAGACACTAATAATATAAGTATAGCTGTTGAATACTTGAAAGAAAGAAATAGCTAGCCTTGGTACTGTAGCACCACGGCGCCTGGCCTCTCATTTAACTTTTTTTTTTTTTGAGACAGTTTTGCTCTTGTTACCCAGGCTGGAGTGCAATGGCGCGATCTCGGCTCACCGCAACCTCCAGCTCCTGGGTTCAAGCAATTCCCCTGCCTCAGCCTCCCGAGTAGCTGGGACTACAGCTGTGCGCCACCATGCCCAGCTAATTTTTGTATTTTCAGTAGAGACGGGGTTTCACCATGTTGACCAGGATGGCCTCGATCTCTTGACCTTGTGATCCACCCGCCACAGCCTCCCAAAATGCTGGGATTATAAGCCTGAGCCATCCCGCCCAGCCTCATTTAACTTTTAACGGTTTTCTAACTCACTCTCCCTCACCTTTTTCCTTTTTTTTGAGACAGAGCCTTTCTCTGTCGTGAAGCGCCAGGCTGGAGTGCAGTGGCGCGATCTCAGCTCACTGCAATCTCCACCTCCCAGGTTCAAGCAATTCTCCTGCCTCAGCCTCCCGAATAACTGGGACTCAAGGCACACGCCACCACACCCAGCTAATTTTTGTATTTTTAGTAGAGACAGGGTTTCATCATGTTGACCAGGATGGTCTTGATCTCTCGACCTCGCGATCCTCCTGCCTGGGCCTCCCAAAGTGCTGGGATTACAGGAGTGAGCCACTGGGCCCAGCCTCCCTCAAGACTTTTCTTGAGGCAGGTTTGTGATCACGAGGCTTCACAGGATTAATTTTCTCTTTGGATCTCTAAAATTCTTATCTTATGTATTGGTTTTCTTGGCTCGAGTCTCTTATTTCCCTATATGGTAAACAATTTTGTCATCTGCCACATAAGGTGACATTATTTCTATCATTCAAAGCTTGTGATTTGCATAAACATTCACAAAAGGACAGTCCTGACCAAAACCTGCATGTCCTTGCCAATAAGACATGTGCACATATAGGTAACACACGGAACACTCTTTTCCACCAATACTCACCACTGATTTCCTAACTATTCATCTTTGGCAAATTTTTCATAAGCAAATCATTCTGATTCATCAGATGCAGGAGGTAAAACCAGATACAATAAATTTTCTTCAAGCAAAGTTTGACTAAGACTACTGTCAATGAGATAGCATGCACCACAATTAGACAATTCTGCTAAATATACCTCCCTCTGCACATACAGGTACCAGCCTAAGAAACCCAATGTTCATTAGAGTCTATCTTAGAAAGATGTGGCTTTTCCTTAATGTTTTCAGACTTTCTGATTCTGATGGATGCATAAACAACTAACCATTATGAAAAAAACATAAAATTTACATCTTTCTTATAAGATTAGGAATTTTTTTTTTTTTTTTTTTTTTTTTTGAGATAGAGTCTCACTCTGTCACCCACCCTGGAGTGCAGTGGCATGATCTCGGCTCACTGCAACCTCCACCTTCTGGGTTCAAGCAATTCTCTGCCTCAGCCTCCTGAGTAGCTGGGATTACAGGTGTCTACCACCATGCCCAACTACTTTTTGCATTTTGAGTATAGGTGGGGTTTCACCATGTTAGCCAGGCTGGTCTGGAACTCCTGACCTCGTGGTCTGCTTGCCTTGGCCTCCCAAAGTGCTGGGATTACAGCCGTGAGCCACCACGCCCAGCAGATTAGGGGATTTTGTATTCTTTTTCCAGACAAAGCAAGGCCTGGATACAGTGGAGTCACGGCTTATGAGCAGGAAGGAGCTGACAGTTGGAAAACACAGAGAAATTAGGTCAGAGATGTTCACCAACCACCAACTGAGATTATGAAAAAGAGCAACAAAAATTTTAAAGATGGAGGAAAGGGTATAAAAGGAGACAAAGGTGCTCACCAGAACAAGGACGCTTTTGGTGGCTCTGGACTTAGGGCAGCCTCTGGAGGAAACATGAGTCCTGTGAATATGTTGGAGCCGCTGCTTGTGCCTATACAGGATGAAAATCATAGAGCCGCTGGCCCAGATTATGAGCACAGAAAATATAACTTCAGAGAACACGATAAATGCTGTATAGACAGAGCCAGTGATTTTTCTCATTGTGTACAACAGAGAAGTATCCAAAATCTCTGTTCTTGTGATGTTTTTGCTTCCCCATTTACCTGACACATACAACCCATGCATAAGAAAAGGGAAATGAAGAAGTCAACATACTTTGGGGCTTTTACTTTGACATCCTTTCACCTGGAGTTCATTGGGCTGATCATGACGGTATGAAAGACACTCAAAAGGCAGGTGGTGCCAATGGACATTCCCCTACCCACTTTCTGAATATACAAAAGAAGTTTGCATCCAAAATCATTGAGGAAATGTTTCAACCCTAAGGCTACTATTGTCTGGGGGTTGTCCTTTAGAGAGAAGGACCAAGGAGTTGGCTATAATCAGGTGCTGGAGAATCAAATCTGCAGACATCAACCTGCATACAGTGTGGTAAAGGAAAAGACAGTAATAAGAGAAATTGCTCAGGATTCTAACTGTAGTCTGTGATAACAACATCACTCCTGTCGCCACATTCCTGGAGGCTATTTTCTCATTTAGCACATTTTCCTCCAAATTATAGCAACAATCATTCCTCTGAGCAGAAAGCTTCATTGTAGAGTTTTGACACCAAGAATGATTTTGGTGATGTGTTCTTGTGAGATTGCTAGAAATTTTAACAGGCAGGAGGAGTTGTAAGAAATTACCAGTATATTTCATGGGAAGTCAGCACTAAGACAAGGGAATGTTAGCCTAGGGGCAGTAGTGACAAGTGAGAGCAAATGCAAAGAAAGCAAAGTCCAACATTTTCACTCTAACCTGAAATTTATCCTGCTCATATTGAAAGAAAGAGAAACCTCAATCATTATGCACATCATGTAACAAATCAATTCTGAATGAGCTGCTCATCTCGAGATTAGAGACAAGTAATAAAAGTTTTAGGGGGAAAATGAAATTTCTGTCATCTCTGAATAAGGAAATACTTACAAAACAGAAAGCACATTAACCATATGAATGAAATAATAAATTAGATTATATAAAAATTAAGAACTGAGCCAGATGTGGTGGCTCAAGCTTGTAATCCTAGCACTTTGGGAGGCAGTGGCGGGTGGATCATGAGGTCAAGAGATTGCGACCATCCTGGTCAACATGGTGAAACCCCGTCTCTACTAAAAAAAAAATACAAAAAATTAGCTGGGCATGGCGGTCCGTGCCTGTAATCCCAGCTACTCAGGAGGCCGAGGCAGGAGAATTGCCTGAACCCAGGAGGCGGAGGTTGCAGTGAGCCGAGATCGCGCCATTGCACTCCAGCCTGCGTAACAAGAGTGAAACTCCGTCTGAAGTAAAAAAAAAAAAAAAAAAAAAATAGTAATCAGTAGCTACTTCAGAATTGCTTCAACTCAGGAGGCAGAGGCTGCAGTCAGCCGAGATCGCACCATCGCACTCCAGCCTGGGTGACAGAGCAAGACTTCATCTCAAAAAATAAACAAAAAAATAAAGCTATAAAATACATGAAAAAACAGAACATATGAAACAAAATAATATGAAAACGAGAAGTAACAGTAAAGGAACACAGACCTGAATTAACAGAGAGCCAGAATATTCATGAATAATAAATATTTACCATTTGACTAGACAAAAAGTGAGATTGGAGTTCTAGCCCCTCATTCTGATTTTGCAGCATCAGGGAAGGTCCATTCTCCCTACTGCTCTAGAATATGCACAGGGTAGAGAAACAATAGGGTGGGGGCTGAGGCTAAGCCCAAGCTAAGGGGTGAGTGGGGAGCAGATACCTGCTC